GAAAAATAATGTTTTACATGAGATTTCAATGGGAGACGCGTTGGTGCGCGCACAAAATTAGAAATCCATCCTAAATTAGAGCGCAGCTTCGCGTCATACGTCCGTCATACGCGCGTATAACGCTAGAAGTGTAAATATCATCATAGGTTAACATGGAAAAAAGTTACGCGCATCTGCTGCGCGTATAACGCGTACGTGCTGTAACGCGTGATGTGTAAATTAGCAGTGAGACATAAAACTGGACTAAACCAGACTGGGACCAGCGTCAGACCATGTGACGTCATCGGAGATTCTGATAAAACCGTTGGGAGGACACATTGGGGGAAGTGAGAGCACAGGGATAGAGATTTAGGGAGTAGCTCCGGGAGTTCTGTATCAACATTTAATTGTAAAGAGAAATAAATGTACTATTGGAACTCTTGAATCTTGGCCTTATTTCTGTACCAAATTCTGAACACGTCGGTCAAATCATTTTTGACAACAGATGGTGACCCTCGACGTGATTTGATACAGAAAGAAGACGCAAGAGGAGCTCAGATAGAGAAACCGGGTCTGTGGGTTTGGGAGCTCTCTACTCTGCAAAACACAGGTAAGCAGATCATATTTTTGAGAATCTGCACATTGTTTTTAATAGAAGAGAGAGAGGTCTCGGCCCAGCATGACTGCAGGTGTGGACAGACCCGCCGTGATGGGCGTTTTATCGGACGCGATAAAACAATAGTCAGGTTTATTTGACGTTTAACCTTGAGGGAATTTTGGGGTCCCCTCTAAAAAACAAAAAGGGAAAAGGAAGTCCACAAGGGTTTTAGAAGTGCAAAAGAGGCACACTGTTTTAAAGTGCAAAGAGGCACAAGTGTTTAGTGAAAATAGGGACAGCTAGGGTCAGAAGTTACAGGGAATAAAACCTTCCATATCCCCCGGGGGGCGGGAGAAAGGGTACATTTAATTTAAACAAAAAAGCCAAGTATTTAAACTGTTGGATTCTGACTATTGAATAATAATGATCTGATTAATGAAAAAAAAAAAAAGGAGCCACTTGGCTGTAGATACGAGTTTCCATGTGGAGAAATGACCAGAATGATCAGTTATGGGATTTCTCTTGTATTGTGATGTAATGTTTCAATAGTTACAGAGGTATTACGAAAAAGATCCGGCTGTACCTAGTGATGCATTAGTCATGTACGCAAATTGTAATGTTTTCCATTACTGACGTATTTAAATAAGTGCAAAGTGTCGTTTGACGTGAGAGAACTCTCACCACTGATAAAACATTGTCACGATAAAAAAACGAGGAAAATGTAGCAAATTTTAAAGGGGATGTTCATGAATTTGGTGTATTTCAGTCGTACATGTACTCCTCTGTTTGAGAAGCCACACAGCCCCTCCTTCTCCCTCCTTCTCCCTCCTTCTCCCTCTCTGATAAATGCTTGAAGATCATTGGGCAGCCACAAAGATCTCTCCAGTGTTTGTTCGAGGAGCGCTTGGGAAAGAAGGCTGAGCTCATCATTAAAGATGCTTCCCATCCGCTAAACCCAAAGTTTGAACTTCTGCCGTCAGGACGGAGATATCGAGTGATATCAGCTAAGAAAAACATTTTTAAAAACTCCTTTGTGCCCAGAGCAGTGAAAGCGGTAAACACTCTTAAGCTTTGAGCAGTCCTGAGCTTGACTCTTGTCTTTAGGCCGGAGGTGGCCTTGTTGGTTTGTTCTTCCAATTGTTCTGTGAATGTAGTGCCACATGATATTGTGCTGGATGTGTGTCTTTTATCTATTTTAAGGTGATAACCAAAGGCAATTTTCCACCTTGGTGGACAATAAAGTTTTCTTATTCTTATTCTTGAGGCATACAGGCCACTCAGCCCCTCCCCTCCCTCCTTCTGTCTGCTCTCTCTCTCTCCCTCTCTCCAGTTAAGAAAGAGACATACCAAATATTTTTTTGTAGAAAATTACATTTATACACACGATAATGTTACTGTCATGGAGTCATATGATCACAGAACTTTGAGTTAGATTATAAAGAGGCATTATTTTATTCTTTTGACCATCTCCAAACGTCTAGACAAGTTATTAAACATTTTTTCCCAACATTTTGGTGATATAAAATTTAAAATGATCTTAGAGAGCGTTACACTTTTGAAAAATAGGGCTTAGGATAGCAGTTTAATACAGATTTGGTTTTCAGAATTTAATGTTTAAAATGTTAATATTAATTATTTCATAGGTTTATTTAGATTTGCAATTATTCATTGGTTTTGTATTGTATTAACACACTTGTTTGTCTGTTTTTTTTTTTTTCCGAGAAAACCCTTCTGTCTGTTTCATTGGCCGATTGCCAGGCCACTGCCACAACTGAGCGCTGCCAAGTCACTGACACAAAGGACTGTAGCGTCTCCCCCAGCAACAGCAGTAGCATCATCATCATCCGCAGCAGTATCGGCTGCAGCAACAGCAGCAGCATCATCATCATCCGCAGCAGTATCGGCTGCAGCAACAGCAGCAGCATCATCATCATCCGCAGCAGTATCGGCTGCAGCAACAGCAGTAGCATCATCATCATCTGCAGCAGTATCGGCTGCAGCAACAGCAGTAGCATCATCATCATCTGCAGCAGTATCGGCTGCAGCAACAGCAGTAGCATCATCATCATCTGCAGCAGTATCGGCTGCAGCAACAGCAGTAGCATCATCATCATCTGCAGCAGTATTGGCTGCAGCAACAGCAGCATCATCATCATCATCTGCAGCAAAGTAAAGGCCACAGACTTTTGCACAAACTGGGTGAAGTTATGTGCAGGAAGAGGAACGGTGTGTGAGCCGAGCAGAAGAGCACGACAACACATTTGTGTGCGTCAAATATGAGAAAAAGAAAGAATTTGGAAGTAGTAAGTAATGGTAGGGGAAACCGGAAGACCCGGAGGAAACCCACGCAGACACGGGGAGAACATGCAAACTCCCCTCAGGAAGACACTGTTCCGATCGGGATTCGAACCCAGAATCTTCTTGCTGAGAGGCGAGATGCTATCCACTCAGCCACCGTGCCGCCCAGTAAGAAAAAGTAATTGAAAAAAAAACACAAAAAAAAGAAATAAACCACGAGAGAAGACATTGGACACTTTGAGACAAAGACATTGGACACTTTGAGACAAAGACATTGGACACTTTGAGACAAAAGACATTGAAAGACGCCATGAGTAAAAGAAAGAGACATTAACGGACATTTGAGGAGGACGTGGCTGGGCAAATGAAACAGACAGGAGGTATTGTATACAGACAGGCAACAAACGCACAGAGACATATAGGACTATTAGGTCATATTTACACATTTAGGTCATAGAATTATTGGTTTGAACTGCATGATCTTGTCTACTACAGACTTTAGAGCAGTGTTCCTCAACTTTCTGAGCCGTGGCTCGTGTCTGTGTTTATAAATACCTGGACACACTAAAAACGCATGTGTTAGGGTGACCTCTGGAATTCTGGGTTGGAGGCCCGTCTTTTTTATACATCGAGGGTGTCTTCGTGTGCCATCAACTAAACAACAATGGTTTCTGCTGTTTGGATTTGTCCCCAGTCTTGCTCCTGCTGACATCTGCACTTTTTCAACCTCACTCCAATCATGCGGTGGGTTGACCTGACTGGAGTCTTCTAAGTCTACTCATTTGTCTATGATAATACCTCATAACCTTTCTTAACTATATTTATTCATATTTTAGGTGATTTCATGTACTTAGTATATTAGGTTTAGTGTGATGTGTTTGTACTGCACAACTAGGTTTGTTCTTTAGGTGCGGCCTGGAGGAAGGAGACCAGTGGTGGAAGGGGGACACGGGACCCGGAACTGGTGATAGGACACGCCCTCTTCCTGTTCTTTTTATGCTCTGGGCTTGAGGCTGGGGCGGAGAGTGAGCACAGGCCAGAGAGGGACATGGATTAGTTTTAGGAGGCTCTCATTTGGTTGGAATTTCTGTAATCTGATTGTAAGGGAAATTTAAATCAGATGTTAAACTTGGAGAACCTTTTGTCATACTTCTGCCTCTCACAAACACGTCAGTCAAAGGGGGAATTTTTGACGGGTCATCGTCACTCAGTTTAAAACAATTCACATGCACAGTTGAAACTGGTTGCTAGAGAAAAAAAAAAAAAAAAAAGAAAGGAGCTGACGCCTTTAATGGACGCGCCTTAGTAAAAGTGGTTTGTTCAGACAATCAAAGTTTTATAGAAATGATTTAGATTATTTTATATAATGGTCTAAAGGTGATATTGGTCATTTCTGATGACACACTAACGCACCACGGCCCATGGTGGCAAACCATTTATAGATTATTTGAACAACCATTCTTAACATAGATTCACGAATGAAAAATTGCCACCAAACCTTTGTCAGGGGAAAACATCACTCTTTGTTCCTCTTTTTTTGAGTTTTGAACTTTATGTACTGCTTAGCTGGCAAGAGTGAACCTGACACCACGCAGCAGAAATGAAAATAAAAGGCTTTTAGCCAAGTCTTACTACGTGATTACTGATTCACGAAGAGTGTTAAAAGCATCTTGCCATATTTCTGGCAACCACACGTTTTTAACTTGGGATCACATATTGAAACATACTAGATGAAGAGAGACAGAGACCCTGACACAGTGGCTGAGTGGGTAGTGCTCATAACGATCCAGTTTTCCCCACCTCCTAAAACGAGCATCATAGTTATATCCTCCAGCGAAAGTCACCCTGACCAAGCAACATGATCTAATGGGTCCCCTGGTGCTGCCCACCACAGCTCAGATTGCTGATGTGGCATTGGGAGGATGGGTGTTGACTGGTGTCTTTTGTATATTATTATATAAACATTGTAATTTGTCAGTTTCCTGAAATGACATCATGCTTTTTGTATTTGGCTTATTTTCTCCAAAGATGTAACTGTATATTTTTCTTGTTCAAGCTCCAACATGAGAAGGCAGAGTTGGAACAACACTTGGAACAGGAGCAGGAGTTTCAGGTTAACAAGCTCATGAAGAAAATTAAGAAGATGGAGAATGAGACCATTTCAAAGCAACTTACTCTTGAACAGGTAAGTGTACTGGCTACCAAATGCTATATAGTGCTATACAATCCACCCATATGGACAAGCCCAGCCTATAGACACGTTTCCACCGCAGGAGTTCCTGGTAAAAGGAGCGGGGTGGAACTTTTTCAGGAACCTTCCTTTCCCTCGGTCCTCTCAATGTCCATGTCTCCACTGCAAAGTAGGACCATTAGGCGACGTCATATGAGTTTTGATTGCTGCATAAGCAAAACTCATTACGCCAAACCCATTATTATAGTAGATCCATGCGCCAAACCCATTTGTTTATTTAACATTCGTGACCGCTCCGGTTTTTGTGGTCTTTGAGTTTTTTATAGTCCTGCTTGAGTTTTAAAAAACTGTTCATTGCTTGTTTTGGAGTGTGATAAATCCTCAGTGCTTCGAGGTGAAGCTGATACAAAGTCAAATGTCTAGATACTGGTTTAATCTGGTCATACATGTGAAGTTGTAGTCTTAATTGGGGTTGAAATCTTGTCTCTACTCGATGTCTTGTGCAATGCTAAACTGTTCAAAACACACGCTTCCCATTTGTGTGTCTGTGCCATTATGCAACGCCAGCTTTTGCAACAAAGGTGTTTACATTATAAGAGGGAGAAATTTATGTGCAATTTATCTATAAATGCAAAATTATTATGAAGGGTTTCAGTAATTTTGCTGTTAACATGTAGTTTGCACAATTTTTGTCATATGAAATTATTCCTGAGACATTCGGGGGTTTTGGCTGACAAATGCACTCAGCCCTTTAATTGCTCAATGGCTTTATTTTCTCACTGATCCACCTACATGATCCTAAAACAGAACAACCATTTTAAACAAAGCAAAAATGTACGTTACTCAAAGTTTTGGTGTTGTCGACTAAAAGAATTCCAAATTGTGTAACATTCATGTTACATTTAGTCAGTAATCTTGTAATACAAATGTATTACATTTTCATCCTGGTTACACTTGCAAACTCTTGGGTTGTCAATAAAATAACAGCCTTTGTAACTTTGTGGCTTTCATTCATTAGATGTGCTTGTTCTCGTTTAGTTACGGCGTGAAAAAATTGACCTTGAAAATACATTGGAGCAAGAACAGGAGGCTCTGGTCAACAGACTGTGGAAGCGGATGGACAAACTTGAGGCTGAGAAAAGGTAAGATTCATCCAACCAAACGCTGCAGTTGGCATCGATCTGAGCAGAAGTACTCAAGAGTTTGTCTTTTAAACTAGGATCCTTCAGGAGAAGTTGGACCAGCCTGTGTCAGCTCCTCCCTCCCCCAGGGATGTTTCCATGGAGATTGACTCGCCAGAGAACATGATGCGGCATATCCGCTTCCTCAAGAATGAGGTGGAGAGGCTGAAGAAAAGCCTTCGCACCACAGAGCTGCAGCGTAAGTGACTTGATAACTGGTCAATACTTGGAAACCGTTTTTAACCCCCATATTTGCAATTGACAAGTCAATGCGAACTATTATGTTTTCCTTAGGAAACCCACATGTGTATTAATTTCATGCAAAATATTCCTGCAGTAGTTTAGCGGCATAATTTAATTTACTTTTTTTTTTTACTTGCAGCTTTTTTTTTTCTTGGCGGGCTCAGGATAGCAATTTTCTAAAGCACAAGCTTTCCCACTAGAGGGAGCCAGTGGATAGCTTAAACTTGTGAAGTCTAGCAGTGATTATTATTCTACTCTTATGGGTAAGGGCTGGGTATGTGGGTAAAATGATGAAATATTTTCTAAATCTGTTTTTACCAACATTATAACTAACTACAGTGATACATGAAATCTGGTTGCCTTTTTAAAGTGACTAGTAACTCTGAAACATGGATTGAGATGACTTTTTGCTCTAAACAGACACTGAGAAGCGAGCACAGTACATCGAAGAGGAGCGGCACATGAGGGAAGAGAACATCCGCCTGCAGAGGAAGCTGCAGAGAGAGATGGAGCGGAGGGAGGCACTGTGCAGACAACTGTCTGAGAGCGAGTCCAGTCTGGAGATGGACGACGAGAGGTAAAACTCATCGCGCAGTAAAACACTTAGGGATTTGTATTTTAAAGTAAAAAGTTGTTGAAACGTGAAAGGGAGATTTTGCTTATTTATGCAGTGAGTTGATTGTCAATATGCATTTTAGGTACTTCAACGAGATGTCTGCCCAGGGTCTGCGAGCACGTACTGTCTCTAGCCCTATCCCATATACTCCCTCTCCCAGTTCCAGCAGGCCTATATCACCTGGTGGGTACTTCTGCTGTGCTGCTTATAAAACACTCTGCTGGCGCTCACACCAAAGTCCATTTATCCCCTTGTGACTTTGAGCGATGTTACTAAGAGCAGAAATAAAAGTGCCCCAGTGTATTGAACTCTCACTGAATCATAAATAATCATTGTTATAGAAGGAAATTCTCTAGTAATATCAGGTGTCATGATGTGGCAACCCAACCTTACTTTTTAATCAAAGCATGTTACATAATAGTGACTTGGTTGTATGTGTAGGACTTCAAAACAGGACTTGTATCAGTACTGACGCCAGTTAGCAAGATTAGATTAAGGTGTATGGTTGGTACAGTTGCACTACAACTACTGGGTGCAATCATCCCTGATTCGATGAGTAAATGTAAAATACTTCTTTTCCAACTCTTCATCATTTGCAGGCCTGTCGTACGGCAGCCACACAGTGGGCTTCACACCTCCAGCCACACTGTCCCGAGCCATGCCACACTACAACACGCCTGCCCTGCACGTACACGGAAGCGCCTCTCATGCAGTAGCGGTGAGTGCAATTCTTCCACATGAAGGCTAACCATGTGCTTGACTACACACTGACCAGGTCTCTACAGGGCTTCTAATGGCTGTGTCAATAATCCATATTGTAATCCGATATGTAATATCAGTTCTGGACTTTTTGTGCAAAGTTCCAATTGTATCTTTATAGACACCAAGTAATCACATTTTACTACAATATGTTTATTGAGGTTCAACAATTGATCAGTCATTGATCATGAACGGTGATGGGTGGCAAAAGGTTCCAGATCAGGTAGATCGATCACATTTTCACACAAAAAAACAAACCAAACCGTGTCAAGGTTTGGTTCTTATCTTATCTGCTGCTCGTGATGCTTCAAACACGCATTAGTTCTACAACAAGTTTGGGGCATAATGTTTTTGACAAGGCTTTACACGAGCAGTGTGTCCTGTGTTTGTGCTCACATTTCTCCATTTAATATTGTACTTCCATCATGCATCAACATGGCCACGTTTCTCCCAAAAGATCAGCCGCTTAGCCCCGCCCACATGGTCTGGGTTCCATGGCAACACTATCACTCACAGGGACAACTTCTAAAATGAAATGCGAGGTAAATCCAAATGGAATTGATCTAAATACATATATTACAATATTTCAAGAAAGCATTCACAAAAAGTATATATATTTAATTAAAGTTGCAATAATAAATTCCTAATTTAAATGCTAAATAAAATAATATTGTAGCTAAAAAAAATGAAACATTGAACAATTAATAAAGATTTGCGTCACAATGTCTATGTGATCGGTATCGGCCAATAAAGATTTTAGAAGAATCCTCCGACACTGTTCACATTTCATATTTATTAAACTATTTCATCTGATAAAAATGGTGTATAAAGATTATGCTGTGGTTTATTACACTTGTAGAAGTGAGCTTTTTAGTTTGGCTTTAGCCACTGAGATAATTAAGGAAAAAACTTTTCTTTTTTCATGTTTCTGACTTTTATCCTCAGAAATTGTAGTTTTGGACACTGGTTTGAGAGCGGGTGTTTTATTTATCACTTGTGTTTTTTTGTGAATCTCTTGTCTTCATGTCGGTGAACAGAGGCCCTCCCCGAGAAGAAGCACCAGCCCCGACAAGTTCAAGCGTCCGACCCCTCCGCCCTCCCCTAACACGCACTCGGGGGCCCTGTTGCCTCAGCCTCCTCTTCCTCCTCCTGCTCAGCCCATGGTCCAGTCCATGTCCTCCCCGGCTGCTATGCACACCGCCGGAGCCATGACAGCACAGCAGCCTCCCTCCCAGCCTTAAGGCCACACGCGCTCCTCCGTGGGCTCGAGCGATTGCCCTCTGAATGCCACGGCGCTACTGCAACAGAAACTTCCATCGACCCCTGCTGTGGAAGTCGACATTCTCAACACCCGTACTGAAGAATCGGCTCTGAAAAGGGGATAGAAACAAGGCAGCACCTCCACAGTGATGCTAGTTGCCTTTCTTATAAATGTGGCGTTGCTCCTCTTAAATGGAATGGATGGACTAAAATGTATTGCTTCTTGGGATTTGTAAGCCCATCATCAGTTCCACATTCTGTCTTGTACATGTTAAGTTTTTGTTGCGTGGGACTGTAGCCGGTCAGAGTTGTTGTGGCGCTTCTGACATAGCACAAACAGCACAGAGACAATGGTGTTGTTCCTTGATTGGTCTAAAGAGTTGGAATGTTTGAGCAGGTGGCGACTGGGATAAGTGTATGTGGTTGATTTTTCTCTCATGGCTAAAATGACGGTCGCAGTTAAGTAATGGCCTCCACGCTGGCACGCTCCTTCTGCTAACACACAGGCAGTATGCATTACAACACCAAGCTAAACACGGCTTTGAGTATAGCCACCAGGGCAGGCCGATAATTGCAGGGAATCAAGTAAAACTCACCATGCAATTCTTCCAAAGCCCTGCAAAAGTAATACATGAAAAAACCCATAGAGGACTATATACTGGTACACACGCTGATCATTAACGCCTTTTATGAGGTGTATCAAATGTAGTCCACGGTGTTATTTAGTCATGTACTCTCTCTTCTGCTCTTCTGGTGTATTTCTGAACGCTTCTTTCATCCTAATGGATAATCCTCATCAGAAAACAGAAACCGCATAATGCTCTTCACACTAAATATACATACTGCTATACATTCTAAATGAATGGTACTGTTGATCAAAATTTCTATGTATGATTAAAGCTCTTGAGATGACAACACCTATCATGACCTATGTGAATGTATTTGTGCCAACACACTCTACGGTAAGCAGTTGGAGACACAAACTATACAAAATGTCTCTTGCATCAACTGCATTTACTAGACTGCTTACCGGGCTATTGCGGTCCTCTCTGTGTGTGTGTGTGTGTGTAGGATTATGCTAAAACAAAAAGGGGTGTATAAGGGATGTGATGGTAGGAAGACTACAGTAAATGATCTGTGGTGGGGTTGGGCGCTTATTATAGTTCCAATTATAGATGCATTAAAATAACTCAAACTTGTATTGCATAAAACCTTTTACTGAGAGCCATTCTGCTGAAAACTGGCCTTTTTATGTCAAATGCAATGAACTTCAGAACAACTTTGAGTAAAATTGTGTGAAAAATGTTAAAATTCTGGGTTAAGCCAATAAATAATATATAATCTGAAAAACCTGATAGTGATATCTGCTTAACCAACATCACTAAACGGATCCAACATTTCTTCCAATATCGGCACAGATATCCGATACCAGTAATTCTCTATCTTATTACCCTAAGTGCAATAGGCCCTTCAGCAGGGGGCTGGAACCCGAGCCATAGTTTAGAAACCTCTGCTGTATAGCGTAGACATCTTGTTGTGAGATAGTTCCAGAAAACAACCTTTTGTGAAATTTTTTTTTTTTTTTTTTCTCTGATTATGGCTTGCCTTGCACTACTAAAGAGATTAAAATCCACAAACATGACTGTACTGTGGAGCCTTTAACACGTGGCACTGTTCACATGATTTTAACTTTGTATCGTCCACTTTGTTTTGGCGTCTCCTCTTCCTCATTTAATTATAGACCGTGGGTTTGCAGGCCCCTCATGCAGGCCACAGTGGGAAGTTGTGGCTCTTAGTAAACCATAGTCCACTAACTTCTTGAAATATTGAAAAAAATTGGCTCTGCCCATTAGGGGTGGGGGCACCTCACGATACAAAGCTCACGATAACGATATCGCGATAAAGATTTTATCTTATGACGATTATTGATATATTGGTCAGAAATGTACAATATGCCAATTTATGGCATAAATAAAAAATACACTTTATTTCATGATAAATGGAATGGAGATGCGTAATGTAGCCATATATTAAGTATTATTACCAATTTTTAAAAATTTGTTTAAAAAAATGTTTTCAATTTTTTTCAATATCGATACTTACAATACAATTTATTCTTGTATAGCCCTAGGTCACAACAGAAGTCATCTCAGAGGACTTAACAAAACCATTGAAATCACCAACACAGATCAGAGAATCAACAGTTAAAACACATGAAGAATATAAAGCACACACAGAAGAAAATGTCCATACATGTTGTAGAATGCTAAAGTGTCCTGATCATCACCAATCCTTTCTGTTGGACACTAACTGTCCAACAAGACCCTCCTGCATCGACAAGGAAAAACTCTTAAAAAACCCAGTGGGAAAAAGTGAGAAACCTTGGGGAGAACTAGGGAAACCCACAGGGAGGGAGACCCATATGAGAAAGGGATCCGCTCCTCCGGACGGACAGGCTAATGATCTAGGACCTAAGCTAGCTACAAAAATTACTTGGCAAATGCATATCGATAATCGAATCGCGGGAGAAAGTATCGCGATATATTGTAACACCCCTACTGCCCATGATCAAACATGTTTCATCCTGTCACAAAGGAAATAATCGTTTCCCTCAAGTACCACCATATCAAAACAAGGTATAAATAAGATTTTAATGGGTCTGTTTACTTTCATGCAAAAGCCAGATCCCATCAAACTTCAAACTGCAAGTCTTGGCCTGGTTAGTACTGTGATGGGAGACCTCTGGGAACACCATGTGCCACAGTGGGGTGTGTGAAGTGTCAAACTGTTGTGTCCTTAGGCAAGATACTCCACCCACATTGAATGTTTGTGTGTGTGAATGGTACAATACAATTTATTCTTGTATAGCCCTGAATCACAACAGAAGTCATCTCAGAGGACTTAACAAAACCATTGAAATCACCAACACAGATCAGAGAATCAACAGTTAAAACACATAAAGAATATAGAACACATCTTGTGATCATCACCACGACAGTGGTCAGAGTGTCTGATGGCTCATACTGGTTGTCTCCCTTCTGTCAGTAGTAGTTTCCACCACTGTGTATGTATCCATCCATTTTCTTCCCCTTAATCCATTTCTGGGTTGGGGAGGTGGCAGTCAGAGTATTACCCACAGCACCAGCCCCACACTGATCCTCCTGCAGATGCTGAGTCCAGCGGAGGGCTTCAGGAAAAGTGGGGTTAATTGTCTTGCCCAAGGACACAACAGTCATCAGTGGGAGTTGTGAAGTAGGTCTCGTGGTGGACTCGAACTCATGACCTTCAGGCTCAAGGGCCAATGCTTGACCAACTGAACCACTGTCAACACATATTGTGTACGTAGTGAATGAATAACGAAGTGTGAAGTGTCTGAGTGTTCTGAAAAGTGCTTTATAAAACCAATTCTTTATTATTATTTTAGGGTCAATCTGGTCAGAAATGGGAGTGAAATGTTGTTCCACATTCCACAAGTGGCACGCTACCATGTGATATGTGTTTGATGCGGCACCGAATGAACAATATTGATACATTTCTGAGTGACGGGCACTGACTCACCATAACCCAACAACAGCGTCTGCGCAAACACTTTGGAATGATGTATCATGTTTTTTTTTCATGAGACAAAAAAATAATGATGCAATAGTGCCAACAATATTTTTTACATATTTTTGTCAATACAAAAAAAAATTCTTATTACCCCTATCAAATAGGAAGTCCATAATTCTAATTTGATTCACAGATTGGTCTCAATCGCTCCACATGGACTAAACACATATAGCATCTAAAGTTATCCACAGAATTGTGATCAGTTAAACCACATGTGTCAAAGTCAAGGCCCGCGGGCCAAACCCGGCCCGCGAATGAATTTTGGCCCGTTGCCTGCCATTGACGGACTATTACGTTTTTTTTTACAAAAAAAAAAACGTCGTTTTCCGCTATTTTAATGTTCCCAGATGTCTATTATATCTAATATGTATGGGGATAAGCTTGAGAGCATATTGAATCGAGCCAGCAGGTGGCAGCAGCGCTCTCTGAATGGTTTGAAAACAGCTAGATGCACTTGTTGTGCCTCTTTTTTCTCAACTTTTTGGTGATTTCAGTAAAACTTCCCTCTACTCAACTGGGGGTTACAAGCTAGAAACAAAATTATTTTTGCTGATGATAGTAGACAGTCTATTCTTTCAGAATCTGGTTTCGGATTTCAGATAGTCATAGTACACAATATTCTGTGGGTCTTGAAAAATCTATAAAAATCATCAGAAACTGCTGGAAATATGGGAGTATCTGTTCTGAAATAGGCTGGCAGGCAATGAGTTAATAAACATTGAACCAGTCCGGCCCTCGGCTCACAGCAAATTTGTTTTTTTGGCCCTCTGATGTATTTGACTTTGACATGCCTGAGTTAAACTGTTGCACGTTTTGGAGTTTTTGTTTTGTTTTCAAATTTATATGAATATGAAAACATGACATTGCAGCATTAGCGCCCCTACATAGAGATCCAAAGAAACTGCCAATGGATTGTCAGTATTCCCTCCTTTGCGCGGTGTGGCGAGGGCTGTTAGACACTGCTTGCAGCTTTAATTTGTTGTTGTGATGTAGAGGTATAACATATTTGTGGCATTGCGTTGAACTATCTTTGTAAACAAAATTATACTTTCTATTTGGCTACAAATAAGGTATTTGGGGTGCAAAAGCCTTCCTTAAAGCATTTACAGGTCATTTGCAGCCCACATTCTTTAAATAATGTATACATATTGGATTCACAGAAGGGTTATGTTTAATTTCTGTAAATACAACCCAGTTAAAGCCCCATGTGAATTTTTCTTTTAATTATAATAAGCAGGCTGAGGGTATCTGGAGTGCTGCAAAAGCAGTCTGGAGCTTGTTGTCAAAAATGATTTGACCGACGTGTTCAGAATTTGGTACAGAAATAAGGCCAAGATTCAAGAGTTCCAATAGTACATTTATTTCTCATTTATTTCTGTTGATACAGAACTCCCGGAGCTACTCCCTAAATCTCTATCCCTGTGCTCTCACTTCCCCCAATGTGTCCTCCCAACGGTTTTATCAGAATCTCCGATGACGTCACATGGTCTGACGCTGGTCCCAGTCTGGTTTAGTCCAGTTTTATGTCTCAGGCCGCTAGAGACACGCTGTTCCTGAAAATGATACTTTTATCACAGAAGCCTTGTTCTTGGTGCTTGTCTGAATTCCATTAAATCCAGGCTTAACTCACTGACTGCTAGGCATTTTCTGATTTGAGAAGTGCGTTCTGCCAGCAATTTCAGGTGATTTGACCCAACTTTGAAGTGCCACAGAATATTCATTTTTTAGACGATGTAAACACCAAGGGCACCAAATTAAAGATTAACCTCTCTGCTTTACTCTGAAAAAAAACAGTTTGTTTCTACCTCTTACCGTTCTTGAGCTATTCGCCATAGAACAAAGCATACTTTCACCCACAACACCTGGTCTGAGCAAGAAAACAGAGAAAACGAGCTGTATGTAAACAGGAACATATCAAGCAGAAAAGAGACTTTTAGATGCATTTTTGCTGCTTTAAAGTTTAGTGACAACTCAAAACATCTTCACACTTGTTCCATTACAAAAATTATAAAAACATGACTCTGAAATAATACTTTTGATGGCAAATTGTTGGCAATTTATTCACAGATAGAAAATTTAACTTTCTTCTATTCCATCAACCAAAACGTCAAGATCAATAAAACTATAGCTGTATAAAATAGAATGAAGCGTGTGAATTTGAGTGTGTGTGTGTGAATGTCAGTGTGCGAGTGAGTGTCTGTGTGAGTGAGTGTCTGTGTGTGTGTCTGTGTGCGTGTGAGTGTTCGTGAGTGTGTGTATGAGTGAGTTTATCTGCTTTTCAGTCCTCCCAGTAGTTCAGCTTTGAGTTGTAGAGGTTGAAACACTGTGTGCAACGGAACACGACACGCTGTGTACCATTTGTAGTTCTCCCTCCGTGAAGAAGAGCTCCAGAAAGTCTGGATCAGATGAATCCAGCTCCAGAAAGTCTGGATCAGATGAATCCAGCTCCAGAAAGTCAGCTGGATCAGATGAATCCAGCTCCAGAAAGTCAGCTGGATCAGATGAATCCAGCTTCGCAGCCTCTGTCCGCAGTCTCTGAGGTCCAGGAGCTCCTGTGAAGGGACTGACTCGGCTCCCACTGATCCTCCTGTCAGCCATCTTCCCCAGAGCTTCTGGGTGACGAACGTGCTGGAAATTTGATACACACAATAACTATATTATACAGTGAATTTGTTACAATAAATCAATACATAAAATACAATACAATACAATTTATTCTTGTATAGCCCTAGGTCACAACAGAAGTCATCTCAGAGGACTTAACAAAACCATTGAAATCACCAACACAGGTCAGAGAATCAACAGTTAAAACACATGAAGAATACAGTATAAAGCACACACAGAAGAAAATGTCCATACATGTTGTAGAATGCTAAAGTGTCCTGATCATCACCAATCCTTTCTGTTGGACACTAACTGTCCAACAAGACCCTCCTGCATCGGCAAGGAAAAACTCTTAAAAAACCCAGTGGGAAAAAGTGAGAAACCTTGGAGGAGAACTAGGGAATACAAAATACAATGAAGGCCTTCCTCCCACATTATTGACTGACTACTTTTGGACCAAACACAGTATTATTATATTATACTATACTATATTATTATTATATTATATTGCCATGGGATGTACAAGAATATAAATAGTAGTCCTTTTACCTTTTTTGTGCACAGTAACTGCCTCTCGATGCACCACCTGTAAATAATATAAATTTGTAAATCACTATACCAGGAGAATATATACAAAAATATGTACAATGGTATGAGGAGGCATTATCTTTACCTCCATGCCCTGTCCACCCCAATGGGGGAGGGCTCTTTTATCAGAATCTGTGAATGAACACATTTCATTTAGTCAGAGCTATGACACTACAACAAGATGTTCAAGTATGAAATAACTAAACATAAAAATAATAAATACAACAATGATAAAACGCATAACTGGCATTTACTAAAGAAACAGTAGGATTTGAGCGCTGTGTTACTTTGCAGATCAGAGCAAGTTTCCGCGCCTTTCCCTCCTCTCAAGTTAGCATATTCTTGGCAATTTAGCAAGTTCTTACCTTCGACTCTTTGTGGAGCTTCTGGAGAGGATGCTCTGCTGGATTGAGACTGCAACCACTCATCCGATAAATCATGATCAGGTTCTCTGAACGAATTCGAGGCATCAGTAACAGCAGCAGCTGATACGCTGCGAGAGGAAGAAGGTGTGTCCCTGCTCCGGGCTCTGGGCTGCAGAGACGGACCTCCACCGGGTCTCCACTCTCTCCCCTCTCGACCTCACTCACTGATCCGCGAGTCAATCTCTGAAGCAGTGTACACTGCTTATAACTATTCTTTTTCGCCATCACTCTTGCTATACTATCGCTAAACTAGATCGCTGATCTGTCTCAATGCTACGCTATCATCGCTCTGCTACAGCAGCACGCTCTCCAAACACTCCCACACTCCTCCTCCTTCTCTCCAATGACTTATGACCTCTCTTGTGGTGCAATACTGCATCCTACTGGTGTTGATTTATCATTACAGGTACATTTGCACTATATATCAGTATTGTGGGTCATTCACAAGGTGCGCCAGACATTACTGTAGCCTCCCGTGTAATAACATGAAAAACTCGTCAAACTCGTCATGGGAACCAGGGACGTGCAGTCAGGGGAGGCAGGGGAGGCAGAGCCTCACCTGCCATTATTGGAAACTAATAATTATTTTAGTTTAAATATATAATTTATATCCACTGTCCTATGCTTTTAATGTATATTCGGCACGGTTCCCATCAGTTTTGATCATTTCTGAAGTCAAAATCGCCGAAATCCCGTTATTCCTATTCAAAGAGACGAGGTGAGGCAGCGCTCCTGCGTGCCTCACCCCAGACCGCTCCCTCACAGTGTGTGTGTGTGTGTCTGAGTGCACTCAGCTCGTGCAGTTGATATATCACCGTTTGTTTCAAATATCCTGCTTTAAAAACATTTTTTAAACTCCTCTTAGTGTTTAGTAGTGTATTGCACGTATGTGTGTACAATTTATATTTAGTTTAAGTCTTTTGATCGTAGATGAACACACAAGGAAAAAGCTTGGCGTGAGGCAGGCGGTATCTGTGCCTCACCGCTAGGGGTGATAGTGAGCATAAAGTTCATACCAGAGTTGCTAACAAACAATCAGCCCAAAATGCTATTTCTTTTGCTGGAAAATGGATGATTTGAATGAAGATTTTTTTTCTCAATTGGACTTTCAAACAAAGAAAGAATTAATATAGACTGGGAGACCACCACTGGATTTACGAGGTTAGTCCGGCTGCGGGGGAGGAGTTTGTTAATCTGTGTTTTATGTTGAACATTGACAGATACCGGCAAAGTAGTGCTTTTCCGAAAAACACTGATTCAAACACTGCTCAAGAGTTCTGCAACTTGTTTAAATTATTGTTTATGTTCCTCGCGTCTCTCTCTCCTCGCGTCTCTCTCTCCTCGCGTCTCCGTCTCTCTCTGCTCCTCTCTGTCTCTCTCTGCTCCTCTCTGTCTCTCTCTGCTCCTCTCTGTCTCTCTCTGCTCCTCTCTCCTCGCGTCTCTCTCTCCTCGCGTCTCCGTCTCTCTGCTCCTCGCGTCTCCGTCTCTCTGCTCCTCTCTGTCTCTCTCTGCTCCTCTCTGTCTCTCTCTGCTCCTCTCTGTCTCTCTCTGCTCCTCTCTCCTCGCGTCTCTCTCTCCTCGCGTCTCCGTCTCTCTCTGCTCCTCTCTGTCTCTCTCTCTCCTCTCCGTCTCTCTCTGCTCCTCTCTGTCTCTCTCTGCTCCTCTCTCCTCGCGTCTCCGTCTCTCTCTCCTCGCGTCTCCGTCTCTCTGCTCCTCTCTGTCTCTCTCTGCTCCTCTCTCCTCGCGTCTCTCTCTCCTCGCGTCTCTCGCACCTGCGCTTCTTAAAGATGTTGTTTGATGCGGAGCAGAGTCAGCAGCTAGATTTGTTGTGAGATTATTAAAAGAAGCTGGTTCTCTTATCTTTACAGTATATAAAGTTTGTGGATGTCATTGCATTGGTGATTAAATGCTATTTTATTTGAATAATGATTGTAAATCTGACTTTTAAAGTCAGTGCCTCCCCAATCACAAACCTCACCGCCCGTCCCTGATGGGCAGTGAGCGTTACTATTCAACATGACGAGTTTTGTCGTCATGGGCAGTGAATGAGTTAATATTGCACAAAGACATGTTTGCAAACACCTACTGGAAATCATTAGTATACAACATTATAATTCTACATCACTCCCTCTCTTTGACCTATCATTAATAGGTCACATCCACGTTCTCATCCATCCGTGACATCATGAGTGACAGCATCCATGCTTCTTTAGTTCAGGCAGGATTCCTGTGAAGACGTTAATTCAGAGAAAACACAACTAACAACCACATTTGAAACATTCCTTTACAAATCACATTACTGATTCTTCATCAACCTCGTCTTTAATGTATGCACTAAAACTATTCACTATAGTTTAAAACTATTCTAATCTATTTACAAATATGTTTGCATATTTGCTTTTACTGAGCCATATTCTTAAACATATGTTTTTATCTAATAAATCCCTCTATACTGTGGTTTGCTTTCATTATCAGTGGCTTTGTGCCAGTGGGATTTTGCTCCATGTTTATTCCATATTCTCTAATCTGTGCTGACAAATCGACAGCTTTTAAAATTCTCAAAAATATCTAAATATCTACTTTTGTGCTATACCCAAATACATCAAAATGCTTTTAAATGTTTTTGAATCTCTGTTGGTTCTAATTGTAGCAATAGTATTGGCAATAGATGATTTTTCATTGGCTCGTTCTTGTTCTGCAAATCACTATTTTATGTATTGTATTTCAGACAATTCCAAAAGCAACACAGTAGTTTTCAAATATAAAAGACATAAATCTAAATCAAGTTGCCTGAAAGAGAGCGGGAAGAAGAGAACTAATTAAAAAACGTTATCTACGATTATATGGCTATTAAATTAATTATTTAAGCACATTCATGGCTTCTGTCCGCTGCTTATAACTGTTTAAAGTGTTGTCCAAAACTTAATATGTGTAAATACATCAGCTGTTTGTAATAAACAATAACATTTAACCTGTTCTCCAATGGAGCAGCTCAGAGGCTGCGTCACGAGCAATGTTATATTTGAGCTATTTTTAGATTTAAAAAATTGTTAAAGCCTGTCGTTCTATGTCTGTATTTTAATACTACTCTCTATAAACACATCTGCACTAGTTCCTACAGATGTGGAAAACAGAAGCATCTAAAATCTGACTCCATTTGATTCCTTTTTACTTTAGTTATTAGAACAATTTGACATTATTGATACTTATTTTCACAATAGAACTATTTTGATTATTCACTAGTCTAACTATTATTACTATTGTTTATTCTGACACCTCTTCTTAGCGACCTTTCAACCTATAGCTCCTTGAATCCAATGACATTATAGCTCCAGACTATTTCATTCTATTCTATTATTATCTTATTATTATATGATCTATTATCTTAAAGAGTAGATCTGTTTGATGTGTGCATTATAAGCGCTATTATTTCTCCTTTTGAATTTGCACAACACTAAATTTAGAATGACCCCCTATGGGACAAATACGTTTTACACTTCTTTCTGTTAGAAGGTTAAGGACCATGACCACCTATGACAATAACATTACTATACTCCCTCTCTTGGTCGTGAGCCATGTGTAAATGTATTCGTCTGTGTGTGTGTGTGTGTAGATTACTGTTCCAATTATCTCCAGCTGGCCGTTCCCAGGTCGTCCTCAGTCCATGCTGTGGTTTATACCAAAAGAGGGGCTCGCCCCATTTCCTCTTATGATCCATACTACTGTGTTATCACAGCGGCAGGTGAAGTTTGTAGTTTATCTTTAATCTGAAAAGAAACATTAGAACACAAAAATGCCCACTTCCCTGGCATGGTGCAGCCTGTCAATCATTCCAATTGGGCAAACATAACTGCATTGACAGACGGTCGTGTGACATCAGGGCAGAGGCTGTAGCCAAATACAGACTTAACAAAATGTATGTTTCTAATTTTATACTCCACTAAATGTGAGTTACAAACCAACGTTGTCCTCCGACCAATCGACAGCTCACTGCGGCTGGACTGTGTCACTGTCAGGACGAGCAGCAGAGGGAGGGACTCCCAGTACCTTCAGCACAGTACTCCCAGTGCAGTACTTATCAACACAGTACTTTCAGCAGAGTACTCTCGTTTTTGCACCTGTTCAATAAAGTTTGTTATCTTTAAATTTCCAGTGCTTAGACTGTTTGCTGTTGACAAAAATAATTATTCAATGATCACATTAAAACATTAAAGAAAAACATTTGTTATTCCATTCCTCCATCACTTGTTCAGCACTCCTCACTCACTGACCACTCACTGACCACTCACTGACCACTCACTGACCACACCATGTTAGTTCTTTGTCCAGAGTTTTGTTAAGGTCAGCGTAGTGTATTTGACATGACACACAAACATGTAACACACACATAAACAACACAACACAGAAGGCCTGTAATTTGACTTTTTCCATGTCCAATTACAATTGTCTCATGAGTTATTTTATTGTTGCAACTTTCAGAGCCTGCAGAACATGCAGAGCTTTAAGAGATTTTTCCTAAAAGGATCCATTTCAAACTTTAGTGTTTACCACGTGGTCTTTGCTCGGGCTTCTCACAGACTGTGTCCCCTATATTTTTAATGAGCTCTCGTTGTTACTTAAAAAAAAACTTGTGCACGTGCAATAAATGTTTTTCCCTTTTTTTTTTAAGCCAGTTCGGATTCATTAAAAAATGTAAATTAGTTTCAAACTTTAATACTTCACCTTTGTTTCACGTTCATGTGGAGAAAAGACAATTATTGTACGTGTGTTGACGTACTTGCACCAATCATGTCTCAGATAAACTGCCAACAGTTGTATCAAAGACATAATTGTCCTAATTGTTTCTAATTTAGCTATTTGGAAGAGAAACATGTCATAAAAGATTTCATAAAATGTCTCTACATCCGTGTTTTCAACCAGTGGGCCGTGGTGCGTTAGTGTGTCATCAGAAATGATCCAATATCACCTTTAGCCATTATATAGAAATAATCTAAATCATTTTTAAAACATTGATTGTCTGAACAAACCACTTTGTACTAAATGCGGCGTCCATTAAAGGCTGCAGCTCTTTTTTCCTAGCACCAGTTTCAACTGTGCATGTGATTGTTTTAAATGAGAAAGGAGCCACGGCTCAAAGGTTGAGGAACACTGCTCTAAATGTCTGTAGTAACAAAATCATGCAGTTCAAACCAATAATTCTTAACTTCTTTTGTCTCATTCTAAAGTAAGAGTCTAATGACTTTAACTATTGCCTTGTGTAAATATGACCTAAATGTGTAAATATGACCTAATAGTCCTATATGTCTCTGTGCGTTTGTTGCCTGTCTGTATACAATACCTCCTGTCTGTTTCATTTGCCCAGCCACGTCCTCCTCAAATGTCCGTTAATGTCTCTTTCTTTTACTCATGGCGTCTTTCAATGTCTTTTGTCTCAAAGTGTCCAATGTCTTTGTCTCAAAGTGTCCAATGTCTTTGTCTCAAAGTGTCCAATGTCTTCTCTCGTGGTTTATTTCTTTTTTTGTGTTTTTTTTTCAATTACTTTTTCTTACTGGGCGGCACGGTGGCTGAGTGGATAGCATCTCGCCTCTCAGCAAGAAGATTCTGGGTTCGAATCCCGATCGGAACAGTGTCTTCCTGAGGGGAGTTTGCATGTTCTCCCCGTGTCTGCGTGGGTTTCCTCCGGGTCTTCCGGTTTCCCCTACCATTACTTACTACTTCCAAATTCTTTCTTTTTCTCATATTTGACGCACACAAATGTGTTGTCGTGCTCTTCTGCTCGGCTCACACACCGTTCCTCTTCCTGCACATAACTTCACCCAGTTTGTTGCAAAAGTCTGTGGCCTTTACTTTGCTGCAGATGATGATGATGATGCTGCTGTTGCTGCAGCCAATACTGCTGCTACTTACATGCATGAGCTTCCTTGACAGCTCATTAGTGAGGAATTCCTCCTCTTTTTCGTAGTTAACGGCCAAGGTCTCCTTTTCTTTTTGCAGGGCCTGGATCTTCTTAAACAGCGTGTTACTGATAAATTCTTCCTCTTGTTCAGCTCTGGCTTGCTGCGAAACAAAACAAAAAATATAAATACTGAGTACAGAGACTCTCTTCCCTGGTTTGTGTGTAGAAGAGTTTGCCCTGTCAAACATGACTGACCGCAGTTTGATGATTAAAAAAATATTTGCAAGGAAGGCTTGAACAGAATTCTAATCACATTTTCGCTAATTAAAGCCAGAAACAACTTTAAGATTAAAACTTGAAGAGGGTAGTAAACAGCCTGATGATACAGCCTGTTTCCTGACTTTCCAATCTCCTCTTCTGACCTCAAAGCAAAATGCTGTTCTGCAAGCTGTGAGACTCATCTGGGAACAATGACAGCACAATGAAGACCAGAGAGCTAGTTAAGCTGCACATACACCGGGTGTACCCTGTCTAACCCTCCACATGAGCCAGATATCAAACTAACTGGTCAACTTTGGCCTACATACTTCCCATCTATCCACCAGATCAGTTACACATGTTATGAAGCTGGGCTGATTAACGAAGCATGAGGACATGACGCATGCTTCTGCAAAGCTTCTCCTCACTCAGTTGTCATATCACATCCTCACTGCCATAAGCAGGAGGAAGATTAAGCACCAAACTGTTTCTACAAACACAAGTTAACATGTTAAACTGCACATTAAACTGTGTTATTTCAAAGGAACTGATGTTAGTGAGCGATTCTAGCAACAGAAAACAACGCGAAATAGCTGGCAGACACTGCCCAGTCTAACGGCTAGCATTTACCATGTTAGCACTAGCCAAGTCAGATAGCCAACATGGCAAACTCAATGTATTTTTGTAAATCAGTCAGAAGTTACACATAGCACGCAATCAGATGATATGATTAATTCGAACAAAAAGACAACACACACATAGCGAAACATAGTCCAATGACAGATGTGATGATATGGGTGGCGTGGTTAGCATTGAGCTAGTAGCTAGTTAGCTTCTAGCATTACTCACAATGGTGACGCTAGCTTTGCGGAGATCACGGTTCTCCTCCTGCAGCGCTTTACATTTGAGTTTGAAGGTTTCCAGTTCAATTTTAAGAACTTTGTTCTCTTGCTGCAACGAGGCCAAGCGGTTGGTGAGCTCCTCCAGACGAAACTGTGAAATGACTATGCTGGGCTTCGCAGAGTTAGAGGCTGAGGAGGACATCGGGGTGGCCGAGCTGCTGCCCGCTCCGTCAGTGTCGCTCTCACTCGCACTGTCCGCCATGACTGTGGCCCAGTGTGAAGTATGGTGGACTATGGTGGAGTGTGGTGGAGTATGGTGGAGCCTGTGGGCAGAGCATAGACTGTAAAGACGTAGCTGCAGCGCGGATCACTCCTGTCCTATCACCGCTGTGTGTACACCGTGTGACCTTGTTCACGCTTTGGGCCACAGCGCCGCCAGCAGGAGAACTCCGGAACTGCTAAACGGGTTGTGCAGGTTTGCATGTTACCTCATACAGCACCTCAAAATAGGGCTCTGGATAGTCCGGGCCCATGCAATCACAACTGGAAGGTAAGGCTGAGCACAGACCTTCCATGGCGTGGACCATGTGTGGCCCCCGAGAGCTGAGGAGGAGGCCCTTTGTCCAGGGGAAACACAACCATGGGGAAACTGACCCCCAGGGATGGAGCCATAAAATGCATCCATGGATGAAACACCTAAGAAGGTGCGAGGAACAACATGATTTAAAAAAACATGAATATAATGATTTTATAATTGTTGTAGTATGTCTGTAATCTTTATTTTTAATCGTTTCACTTCAACCTCTCCTATATATGTGGATCTGGAATGGAGATGTCTTTGCTCTACACATGCAATATAATGATTATGAACTGGATGCCTTTTTAAAGTACAAAGTGCTGCAGATAAGATCATTGTCATTGTAGAGGATTGCAGCCAAGAAACATTGAATGAATATGGTCGCACTGAAATTCGTATTATCATAGGAAACACCCAGACTTCACTCCCTGCATTGCCACCTACAATAATATTAATGTATGAAAGAAAAATGTTTCATGACACAAAATAGAAAAAAAAAAAAAACTGCAAGTAAATAAAAACAGATTTATTGCAAAACCAACTTTTTTATTATTTCAGTTGACTATTTAAAGATGTCTAAAACATTTGTGGTGGCATCATTGCTGCTATAGCTCCTATAGACCTTGAATAACCAAAGTGCTAGAATAGTTACAAGTCAATGGCTTCACTCTGTTAGTAAGAATTGTACATCAAAAGTTCTTATGAACAAAAATTGGCAAAAAAATAAAACACACACACACACACACACACAAAAGAATCCTCTAACCCCTGATTGACATAATAGGATATTGAGTATAGTACAAACAAACAGACAAACATAAAAATAATAATTTGTATTATGTTCAGGGCATAGTTGCCTGTTGAACACCACTCTTACTTGGGGTATATAAAAATATTATGTAAATGAATTAAATATTTTCATGAGCTAATGATGCTGCATATATGGAATCTCAAGCCTAATGAAAAATATCACATATTATTAAACAATGAATTTTGACCATCCAGTGTTTTGTCATACAATATGCTATAGAGCTACAATCCAACAAAGACTTTGTGTCATCAGTGTGAGTACAATATGAAATAGACATACAAAACAAAAACAAAAAGAAAATAAATAAATGCCCCATTATCCAATTAATAACACTGTAGCTTTTGGAAAATTTGTAGACACCACTTACGGAGTGGTGAGATTCTAGATTATTTCACCTTGAAGTAAATATGCACAATGGTGATAATCTTACAGAGAGCCAGGCGACTAGTAAATACATTCAGACAATCACTCAGCAGGTGCTACTCATTCATTCAGAAAAGACCCAGCTATGAACATTTTTCACACAGCTTTTTAAGCCCACACAACATGATAAATGCTTCTACTAAAATATAAAAGTGGTGACCACCATCAGGGCTATGTGCACACACATAAAGGGTCAGATGTGTTATTTGTATACAGTGTTTTTGCAAACTTGTAAAAATTGTAGTCAAAATAAAAGAACATGCTTGAAAATATGAGTCGTCTCAAAGGCTGCTTTTGCAGAATCTGGACATTACAGAAATCTGACTTTTTCTGGAAAGCTTATATTTAAAATCAAACCAGCATTATCATGTACAAATATTATATTATACCAGCGCTATTAATAAATTATACAAGAACCTGTTTCATTACACTCATCTTTAAAAAGTGAAACCTCTTTCATAAAGTTCAAAATCACTTAAAAGGTTGCTATTTTAGTGCAATCTTGACCAGTAAAAGTGTAATTTCAGAAAAGTCGTTAGTTAAAAAACAAAACAATGAGTTCAAGAAAATAAACTATAAGGCGAGTGTTATTTCTCAAGTGTCCAGCAGTTTCCTCCGTTTTTATGTCGCCTTTTTCTCTTTCCAGGCAAATTGTGGAAAGAGCTCTTGTGCCATCTTTGGTCACAGTTTCACCAGTGTGTGTCCACTGCAGTCCAGAGTAAACCAAAGCCATCTCCGGGGGTCCTCACACGATGGACCAATGGCACTGCTCTCAAACAGGAAGCAGGATCGATGTCCATGGTCCACACACGGAGATTAGAAAACACGCGAGTTTTCATGCTCATGCTCAAATGGTCAGCACGAAAACCTGTCCTGGCACGAAAACCTCCTGTGAAACTGATGAAAGCAGATTGGACCCTTTGCCTTAAGTACTCACAGTGGAACTTTATTTCTGGAAGACAACCTGTGGAAATGAGAGAGAATAAATAACTCTAATAACTCACACCACTTACAACACCATAAAAATAACTATATATAAAACACATTCACTGCACTGCTAAACGTCTATTGTGTACATTTGTATATACTGTAGAAGCTATTTTAAGTAATGCAGATTTTTTATTTTTAAGCCTTATTCTATAGTTTATTTTGAACTTGTTTTCACCAAGAGCCAAAGCAATTTCCTAGTTTGTGACTTTCTTGTTACTCACAATAGCAATAAAACTAATTCCCTTCATCGGAGAACCCAGTGTGCACTAAACACAGTAGGATGCTAACGATACAACAATCAGGGACTACTTCAGCTGATATCCTGATGAGGCCTGACTATTTACAGCTGATAATCACCCAGAATGTTTTAGCTTTTACTCAAATAAAGTTGTTCTATTGTTACTTGCACAATAAACAGCAGTTCAAAACACAACTGGAACAATTTCTTTTAACACATGACCTATGATTTGAGGGGAAAATAGTATCAAGGTTCAAGAATGAATTTGCCATTTGCAGTAAAACCACATTGGAAAAACTGTGCAAGACTTCCCCAGTGTGCAGTTATTATGTATTTTTTATCATTTATTTTCATGTACTTTCATTCCAGCTACAGGTATGGGCAGATATTGAACCACTGGGATCGGTATCAGACTTGAATAACCTTAATCGGTGCAACTCTAGAAAAATAACTACAATTTTCCAGTCACTTCGAATGAGCACAATAGACACAAATATTGAAAGTTCCGTATGTGAAAGGTGAGAGCAAATGTTATACCTTGCTATGAGTGGTGCTTTTTGTCACTTGACCGTCTATCTTCCTTTCTTCTGTTGTTTCTGGACCCATTGCCTTGCTGTAGAAGACACACACAAAACACATTGCTTAAAAAATAGTCTTGATGTATAAGTATAAAAACCATTACTGTTACATTTTCAAATCAACCAAAAATAAAACGGCCAAAAAGAGATTTCTTGTTAGTAATAGAAACAAAGGCACGCCACACCAGGTCATTCCCCTTTAGGATGAGAAACCATGTTAATCACTTCACTCATTCACTGCAACATACGTATTTAGGGTCACCAACACTTCCACACAGACTTTTTCAAGACACCACCGCACGTATCAGAACATGGGTTGCACAGAATACAATCGCTCAGCTCAGTTTGAATAGAAATAATTGTTCTTTTCCATAGAATTTATAAACTTCTGGTTGTGAAAAAAGGAAAATAAATGTAAAAAGTAAAATGTAAAAATGAAATAATATTAAAATGTAAAATTGTAAACATAAAAAAAAAGTGAATGTGCACTTTACTGTCCCTGTAGGGAAATTTGTCCCATCCTGACGCCAACCCATCTTGGTCAGAATTTTACCAATTGTGCATTTTTTTGTGATTGGGGAAACCAGAGCACCCGGAGGAAACCTACGCAGACACGGGAAGAACATGCAAACACAGGACTCTCTTGCTGAGAAGTGAGAGTGCTATCCACCCAGCCACCGTGCCACCCTTGCTATTCTGATCGTAAGACTTATGCACATGTTCTGACACCAAGAAAAGATAGAACCATATCACACTATGTCCGACCTCTGAGCACGCCTCAGACAGGGCAGGACTGTGCACTCTCCGACTCCCTCCACTGTCACCGCCTTGGTTGTCCGGTGTTGGCGTGGAAACCCGGCGGATAACTTTTCTGATGATCTACCCAAAGCAAATTGGGTTCAAACACGTTATTTTTTTACCATTACCTTCAGCGATATGGGCTCGTAGAAAGAATGAGTTGAACGAGTGGACTTTACTTTTCTACTGACGAGGTTACCATCGTGATCCATGTAGTGCTCCTCCGTCATACTCTCGCCTGAAATATTTCTCGCCTCTTCGCCCTGTAAATGTGTTTTTTCTTAATTCACAGTCATTTAAGTCAAATACTTGCCAGCCCCACATCAACCACCAGCACCACAGGTAGATGAGAAAGCTCTATAATACATTGAATACTTTTTCTCATGGCCAAAAAGCACACCACCACCGGATAATCCCCTACTAAACTACTAAAGCTGAAGGAAAAAAGGGTTCACCAGAAACCATCAAACCCGGTTCACAGTGTACCTTCAAAATTATACGGCGTCTGAAGATTCTGGTGGTTACAGTTTGTTCTTCCTCTGAGCCAGAGTCAGCACTAAAACACTGGTGATAAAAAAGATTCATACGTAACAGAACAAAGACATAGCAAGGTCATCTTTGCACACACACACACAAAGAAGCTAAGTGTGTGATCTGCAGCGCACCATAAGAGAGTTCCCCTCCTACTGTGAAAAGGCTACATTGCTTTCACCTTGAATGCAACATTATTTCTTTTGGGATTCTTTGATGCATATGAACATGGATGAAACAAATGAGGAATTGAAAAACAACTTGCTATAATAAGCAGTGGGGGGAAGATGTGTAAAGTCCGATGTGGCTCCCAGCTGCAAAAAGACCAGGAACTCATTAAGTATAAAGACATTAACATGAATTACCTGGATTTTTTTCTCTGAGACTAGTGCCCCCTCCTCTTTTTTGACGTTCGAAGACTGCGGTGAGGTGTCCTGAGGGGAGTGCTTCGAGTTGTTGTTTGGTCTGGACCTTCCTGATTCGCCTCTGGATGAAGAAGTAATGGAGTCGCTAGAAATCTCGAGTCTGCAGGGTCGATAATGAAAGATTAGGGCCCAGTATATAGTATCTAAGCACTCTCTCCCGGTGACTTACCCTTCTCGTTTGTCAAGGAGGTCGGAGCTGACACTGCGGCCCGGTGTTGGTGGCTCCACATTAACGCTGGACGAGTCACTACTGTGCCAACCTGAAAGTGAACACAAGTCTTTTTCTGCCTGTTCCACCTGGCGGAGCATGTTCTTGATAGTTGCACCGTTTGTTTCCTCGCTGTCCTCCTCCGCCTCTGAGCATTTGTCCTTGAGCACTTCAGCTGCTGCCTCTTGTGTTCTCATTTGTTCGATAGCTTCACAATCCATTACATGCGTGTGATATGATGGGAGCGTGGCCAGACATTCCTTATCTTTCAGGGGATCCTCTGCTTCTAATTTTGTTGTATTATCTGTATTGATTTCAAAGGACACATCTCCATGCGTTTCTAGGTAATCGCACTCAGACTTATCCTGACCTGAACTCTCCTCAGAACACCTTTTCGTTTTGCAATCCACTGCTTTTCGTTTTTCACATTCAGTGCTTTTTTCAACTTCATGCTCTGTCTTTATCCGCTCTATCTGCCCCTCTGACGGATACAAAGCATGCTTTACCTCCTCAACTCTGCACACTGTTCCTTCGAGGACGAGCTGTTGTTTTGTCAAATCTATATCATCTAGCGCCAAACCTTCTTTTTGTTCCAGAACAATTTCATTAGCTACCCTCATCTTATCTTGTATGACCATTTCACATTTCATCTCTACATTCTGGATAAGCTCCTGCTCTATCCACTTCTCAACTACAAAGTTACCCTCCAACTCTGCCTTGACCTTCTCAGCAACTTTCTCGGTTTCATCGGCCATGTCCTTTTTACTCTCTTTTAGAAACACATCTTCTGGGGCAAGTATATGAAGGCTGGTCGGGGATGAGTCTCCGAGGTGAACCCTTTCAGGAGTTGATGGAGTAATGGATGATATGGATGAGAGCGATGGAGAGGATGTGTAGAAAGCCATGTCGATGTCCGGCTCGCACAGACCGGGAGCTGGGTGTGTCTTTGCTTTGTGGATTTGCTGTGGGCAGGATCTGTCTTCTTCTTCACTCAGAAGAAGCTGATCGTTCAGAGCAATGTGAGGCTTTCTGACGAGTGATGGAAGGGGATCAGGGAGTGCAAAGACAGGGGCTGTTAGGGTGAGCTGGGAGGGTCTTGGGGGGCTTTGGGGGGGGCTGTCTCCACCAGCGTTATCAAACTGTGAGCTGTAAGGCGGGGGAACCATGGAATCTGCATCGCTAAAATATTGTTGCGGAGATAAGGCGAGAGAAGGGTTGGGTGTGACGGGGAGGTCGGACTCCAGGAAGCTGGGACTAGAATGAAGTACGGCGGGGGACAGCAGCTCCGCTAGAATGCTGTGATAATCTGTAGGTGACAGGACGACATACACAGGCTGAAGCATGCTACACCAAGAACAGACCCACAAACTCCACACACAGTCACATGTAACAAGGCTCACGAGTGTCAAATATAAGCATACATCTATACTACGGAGAGAAACAACCACAGCACCAAAAGCTTCCAGGTAAGAATCATTGAGAATATCTAAACTATATCTAAAAGTAGTGATTTTCAGGTGATAATAATACGAAACGAAAAGTAATTCCAATATCTAAACTTTTTTTTACCTGGCAATGTACAATAATTATAATTATGAATTAAGAAAGTTTGAATTGTAGACAAAATAAAACAATATATAATCTATTTAGGCCAGGGGTGTTAATACTTTTTTCACCACAGTCTACACTAAGAAACATGAACAGAGCAAAGGGCCCGATATAAAACAAAACCCCACAAAATGTTACAGTAGACATTGTTTTGACATTGACTTAGCCACCACAATTATATCAAGCATGGGGCATGAATGGATAGGTCTACATTAAGATATTATGAATTATTATTAGTATTACTTTTGGCCATGTGGCAAATTCAACAAGAATCCTGAGGGGTAACAAAATAGGCCAGAGGGCTGCATTTAGCCCCAGGCCATAGTTTGGACACCCCTGTAATAAACTATTATAATTAAACTAAATTTTGCATTTGAGACAGGAGTAAATGTGTGTCCATTGTCAATACATTACTATAAACTAAATATATTACAATTAATTGGTGTGTGTTGCACAGCCTTGTCTAGTACTGGTCACATGGACATCTCTAGTTCATGCAGATATAGTACAGTTATATACAGTTATAGTGAGGTAATCTGCTGAAGCGCAACACGTGTGCACAGTGCAAACATAAGGCCATGTTAACAGACAAAGCATTCCACAAGTTAAAACGTCTTAGAACCCCATGCTCTCGTAGACAGATGACAGAGACAAAACAAGATGTATCTAAATAAATATTTCTGTTTTAGTGGAGTCATGCTGGGTCTGGGTGGAAGGAGGAGGGTTAGGGGGTGCACACTGACATGAAGGACAGGGAGACAGCGGACGAAGCGGCGGAGAAGAAAGACACGGACTAGCAGGGCGCGATCCAGAGGTTGGGAGAGTCACCACTGATAGAGGGGAGACTCGACCTGACATGGGCAGCTGTGTCACTAAAGATGTGTCACTCAAAGAAGGACACATCTTGTCAGAGGTAGCATTAGGGACAGAGTTAGGTGTGGGTGCATCATGATTAAGGGGACAGTTTACAGGAGAATTTACACCCAGAGCTGGAGAATCGAGAACTGAAGAGTTGTCTGGGCCTGTTTGCAGAGATGGTGTTGGAGATGCCGGGACTACAAAGGAAAGAATGGGCGATGGAGAGCGACAAGTTGGGGACATGGGAAGGGGTGAAGTGATTAATGGGATTGGAGAGGAAGGATGTGGCGAGAATGGAAAGGACGCAGATTGTCGTGGGTCGAGAATGTTTAGGGAAAGGGTTAAAGGTGCAGGGGGAGATTTAAACTGGGCCGCTGGTGCTAAATCTTTAATAGAAATGGAAGACTCGTAACTTGGAGAACGCCGTGGACCTTGAGAAGCAGCTGACGGAGTGAGTGGGGTGGGTGGGGGAGTTGGAGGAGTAGGGGATGATGTTGGGTAAAACGAATTAGATGTTTGGATAATTATAGGAGCACTTCCAGGAATTAGAGGGATAATGATGGAAACTGTGGGAAGGATCACAGAAGACAGAATAGAAAAGAAAAGAAAAAAGAAAAAGAATAAGCATGATGATTTGCCAAACTATTATAGTGACAAGAAGGTTTAGGGCTGTGTTGAATGCACAAGGGAGGTTCTAGCAATACTTGACTCTTAGGGTAAGAGCAATTATGTGCTGGAATGAGCAGGGAAACTGTGGGATGAGGTGGGAGAAAGGTACAGCACAAGGGAGAAGAGGCACTTTAGTTTGGCAGCAAAAAGACTGTCATCTACTTCAAGAAGGGCTCAGAGGAACTGGAGGAGGACTAAGAGAAACAAACAAGCAGTGGTAATACAAAAAGGTTACATAAATGCATCTAATGTTAACATTTAAGTTGGAAAACTAGTATAACTACAAGTGGATTAAAGAGATAGGCTCAACAAAGCTAAACTTTACCATCAGCCTGATCCCGGAAAACGTTATCATCAGCAAAACATCTGGTGCCTGAAATGTTACCATAGTCGAAAATTGGGCCTTCCAGTAGAGTGACAATATCCATCCGATTTACTTTAGTCAGGACTGTGGATAAGGCATCCGCTGAGTAAAGAAATGAGAATTGTTATTGATTTATTTGAGAATTCAAATTTCCCTTTTTGTCTTTTTAACAAGAGAAAGATGGAAGCCTTACTTGTGGAGTTTTTTCCTTCTCTGTTGACCCATTTCTTTAGCAGCATGAAGCTCTGAGCTGTTAGAGAGTTTGGGTTCTCGAGTCTGATGTGGTTTATCTCATCCACAGTAAAGTTCATCTCCCTTGCCAACTCTTTTGTGGAAAAAACAGAAACTTGTTTTAATTGCACCTGTACAACTCTAAACCTATTTCTATTCAAATAATCTAACCTGTCCAACTGAGTCCCAAGTGATCTGCCACAATAGCCATTCGCAGGTCGGTGCGCTCACATGGGCTCTGAGGACCTGGCGAGGGACATAATTGATTAACAGGGTTTTCAAAAACACCTTTTGCCAAAATGTAAGAAAAAAATCTTGATGTAATAATCGTTTTCTAGCCACATGTTTCACTCTCCAATAAAGAGCAAAATGCCAATTTACACACTTTTAAGAAATACACCTAAATACTGTAAATAACAAGAAATCCGATATATTACATCATACTAATTAAAAATACACTGTGTGACTATTTAGTCCTCCTTTCAAAATTGGCCAGAAAAGGATTAGAAACAAACAAAATGACAAAATATGTATGTTTTATAATAAGTGCTCTATGATTTTATTATGTGAATGTGATCTCTAAGCAGGCAGTAACTTGTATGAAGATCACACAAAACAAAGGATATGACATTACATTAACATTTCTAGTGAAAGTACCTACAATATTACACATGCAAGATCAGTGTGCTTCTGGATTCCACTCAGCACTATTATGACAATTTATGATTGACTTAAAAAAGAAAAGGAAACACTACAGTGACTTTGTAACCCCTTGACTTGACAGAGCAACCATTGAATTGCCAAACGAGAACTTGGCTGTGCCAGTTGACTAGTCATTTCTACTACTAACATGCTCACACTTTGGTATAACAGAGTACAGAGATAGGAACAGGAAGAATATCTTGCAACAAGGACAATACACTACACAATATAAAAATGACAAACATAAATTTAAATGACAACTATTTACAACAAAATGTGTAGACACGCCACAGGCATTCCAGTCATAAATGATCACAACAAAGTCATGCAACTAAAAGTGAACTATATTGATATAGATGTATTGTAACATAATGTGAAAATTTTACAAACTAGGCTTGATCTCTGCGATGGGAGGCGTTCGAGACCCTGTGAGTCCCTGACTGCCCTCCTTCCCACCAGTCCTCCTACTCCTTCTGCTCCTTTCACTGCCGGAGGCCCTGTCCGTCGCCGCCACCTTTGCCCTTACGGACGCGGCCCCAGCCTCAGCCCTCGGACCTCTACCAGACCTGGATGAGCTGGAGGGCTGGGAGGGCTGGGAGGCGTCCGACAGAGAGGTGCTCCGGGAGGTGCTGTCTTCCTCCGACTGCTCTGTCTGCGTCTTTTTCTCCTCGTCTGAAAGGCGGTCCACCAACTTTTGCGTTTCCCCACTTATGTCTTTAAAGTATTCGATGGTGCGTTTACAAACATCACTAGGAGTTTCCTGCCCCTGCTTTTTACATCCTCCTACAGCTGTGACTTTGCTAATGTGGGGCTTGTCCTTTAGAGGCAGTCTTGATGGTAATTCTACAGCTTTCCTTTCACTGGGCAATGGTCTTTTTGGCTGTGAGCTAGCACGAACTAACCCAAGAGAGCTACAACTGAGTGTGGCGGATGGGGCAGTCCTTTTAACATCTTTAATGGGTATTCTAGATCTGGGTTCAACTTTGGCTATGACTGGCTCTCCTTTTCTTTTAACCTCAACCTTGACTGTTCCTTTGGGCTTTTGTTTTCCTATTGCTTTTCCCTGTGTGTGAAAGGACCACCCTGAAGCTTTTACTGGAAGTCTAGACTTCAGCAACTTAACTTCTGTGTCTTTAACGGTTTCAGTTTTTGGGGCCTGCTCTTGCTGCTCCACCGCCTTCTCTTCTGTTTCTATTCTGCTGGCTTTCTGAAGAGTGGGCTCTGATGAGGATTGCAAATTAAACACCACACTGCCACATTGGATGTAGTTGGCAAGAACACTAGAGGACTCAAGGTTATTGTTATTGTTGCAGTTTTCCAAAGGGTAGTCCTTCCTGTCTACTTTGGCGTCTGTCGATCTGCGAGATTGGTCATCTGTACACTTCTGCTCTGCACTCTCTATACTGATATACTCTGGCACCATTTGTCCCTCTGGCAATTCCGCCTTAGAGTCACTGTGATCCCCTGAGTCTTTTTTCAAGGTTATTGAGGCAGCTATGCCCATTTTAATCGGGGTGCGTAACTTAGAATCAACTTTGGAGGCTGTGATTGTACATGAGGAGGCAGTTTCAGCTATGGCTTCACAGGCAGCAGAGCCACCAGTATAACCAGTGGCGTTGCCAGACTGTGCAGGGCTGCATTTTGCTGTTGTTGCTGGTGTTGTTGGTGTAGTGCTGCTAGTGGTATCTATTACCTTCACCATCCCATCTGCTGTGTTTGTTGGAGAGGACATTACCCCCACAACATTGCCCCCTCTCCCCTTTTCCCCTGATTGAGGGTCAGAGGGATGCTCACCAATCTGGAAAAACTGAAGCCTCTCTTCAACAAAGTCCCGTTTGCTCATGTCAATAGCACCACTGCGCGTCATCTCAAACATCTTCCCTTCATGGAAAGGGAAGGGGTTAGGCTCACTAGTGGGTGTGCTCTCATCAGTCGGAGTTCTAGCAGGGGTTGTATCTGGTGTTGTAGCCTGTGACTTGTCCTCCACTGATAAACCAAAGGGTTTTGGATCTTCATCTTTTACTCTGGATTCAAACAGTCCCTCATTATCAGTCCCTTTGGTTGACCAGGGGTCAAAGTCAAGACCTTTTGTGGCAACCGTTTTAAAGGTTGAGTTCAGCTCTTCTTCGATTTGGTATCCAAAGTAGTTCTCTGCACTTCCCTTTCTATCTGGGTGCCTTCCTTCAAGAGTGTAATCTTTTTCATCTTCACTGTCTTTTGTGCTGGATGACCTGGTTTTTGCCTTTTCGTCATCTCCTACATCCTCACATTTCTCCTCCTCTATGACTTCAAGCTTGGATTGACTGAATGAGCGGTCAACATTTTTTCCGTCATTGGAGAGACTGGATGTTTTAGGATCCTCACTTAATCCATCATCTTCATCTTGAAGGTCATAGCCATCTAAAGAGTCTATCTCTGTTGCATCAGTGTCGTGTGAAAACTCAGCAGTTGTAGCTATGGAACAGTCAGTTATTGACGGATCATTGCCATTTTGTTCAAGGTCAGCATCAGCATTTGATGTACCATTACCTCCGGTTTCCTTGTTTCCATTTTTCTCTGCTCTTTTGGGTTTTGTACGTTTTTCTCCCTCTTCTTTCATTTTGAACGTATACTTTTTGATTGGGATGGGATGGAACACAGACTCATCATCGCTTGAATCACTATGATCTGCTCCGGGGGGAACTGGTGATGGCGGTTGAACTCTGATCACCGGCTCAGCTAAAAGGTGTCTGTCATGCTCCTCTTGAAGGTTGACCTCCATCATTTCGGTCTCTGCCTCAGATGAACCACAAGAACCCTTTTTCTTCTCTGCCTCAATAGGTGGTGGGGGAGGAAACTCTATATATGCCACTCTTTTGTCTTTTTCCTGCTTTTTACTGAGATTATCAGAAGATGTAGGCTTAGATTTGTGTTTGGCAGGTTCTTTATAAATCTGGGTCTTGGCTTCTTCCTCCTCAGACTCTTCTAGTATTGTGCTGGGCATACTGGGCATTAAACCTATCACAGAGTCAGGCGTTCTTGAAGCAAGACTCGCCTCTTCTGAGCTTGGGGTTTCAGGAGTAACTGGGCTCTTTCCAGAACTGTCTATGAAGGTCACTTGTTCAAGAGTGTCATCTTCTGGACTACCTTGTGATGGAGATGGCTTTTGTTTTACAGTGTATGCACCCCTAGTTTCATGAACCGTTCTACTTTCATGGCTCACAATCTTTTTGTACGTTCCCAACTGGCCAGAAGCAGTTTCTTTCTCATACTGCTTTCCTACTTGGATACTAACATAAACGGGTAAAGGTTTGATATCCTTATAGCCCTCTGTAACAATAACAGGGGTGCCCTTTTCCAAATATTCTACTTGCTCAACGTCTACCCCATTACACACTACATTTCTCTGGGTGCTGTCTAAACATTCAATGGGTCGAACTACTGATGACCCACCTTTTGCGTCACCGGCAGTGTGCGTCTGATTTCTAACTAGATTAGATGTAGGAGGTCCTATTTTCTCAGACAATTGAGAGGATTCTGTTACTTGTGGAAAGTTACACAACTTTCTTACAGGAATTAGTGATTCCGAGTTTTTTTTTAGACTGTCATTGCTATTTTTACCTTCTCTAACCACAAACTCAGTATAAATTATTTTCTTTGTTGTTTCTTGTGATTGAGGATCACTATTTTTAGAATCTTTTAAACGCTCATGAACACTGGTATGTGATGCTTTGGGTGACTGTGGTTTGTAGTTACCATAGCCCTGGCTTTCCCAAGTCGTATAGACCCTGTTGTCATCCTGGTCTTTTGTAGTAGTTTCATGCTTAGGTGATAATCTATTTGATTCACTAACTAGACCCCTCCTTTGACCTGCAGGACTATCTGGGGTTTTGGGAGGATTTGAACCAGCAAATACCTGATAGACAGGAAGTTTACTTTCCTGGAGTTTCCGTATCGGTGAGCTTGGATTTTGACTACCTTGATACTTGTTTTCATTCTTCTGAGCCTCCTGCTCAAACTTCAGCCTCACTGCACTAACCTTTGAGGAAGAAATTTTGTATGGCTTTTGACTTTCTCCTGTAGTTCCTTGTGCTTTCATATCAACCTGTTTTCTTGCCTCTGTATCATTAAACTGTAGCAGCACTCTCCTCTCTGGGCTGCTAGGCAAACTTGAACATTTTCTGTCACTTGCGCTGAATCGATCCCGAAGTCGCTCGAGACTCCACTCTTCACCACTGCCTCTATAAGATGGCCGCTCAGGGCTGCTGTGTGTGGAACTCGGCCCTGATCTTGTTTCCCTGAAGTCTGATCTGCGGGATTTTTTTTCTGGAGATGAGAGCTCATCATTCAGTTGTTCAGTTTTGTCACGAAAGAATTGTGATACTTCACTAAGTTTTTCTTCTGCCTCCTTGACTGTTCTGTCTACTCTATCCTCATACATAAGCTGCTTCCTTTCTCTATCCTGTGCGTCATCTGATACTCTCATCCAAATGGATTGTTTAGGACTGCTCGATTCAGATGAATATTGCAAAAGCGTAAGTTTGTCAAAATTATCATCTACATTGGTCATTCTTCCTGATTTATCAAACACATTTCGTGATGACCTAAAGACATACTCGGTCTTAGGCCTTCCCTCGCTGGGACTTGTTCTGTCTGGGGAATGGAATCGAGATCTGTCCCTCAAATATTCCTCTGTATCAGAATGACACTGATCAAACTTTTCCGAGAGCAACATTTTCTCGGCAAAATTGTAAGATTCACCCCTGAGCTCAGATGAACCATCCTCATTATACTCTACAGACTGCTGGCTAAGTAGCTTTAATGTTTTGTAAGAATCATCAGCCATGAGCTGAGCTGAACTAGGGCGACTATCATCATCTTGTGAAACAGATGTGTTCCTTCTTGGGGAGTCTAGGTACACTGGAAGTGATTCTTCAGGTTCAACCTCCTCCTGTCTACTTCCTGGGTAATAATACAGTTCTTTTTCTCCATGGTTTTTGGTTTCCCGTATGATGACCTCTGTCGGTTCTGCTTTATTGCCCTTTTCAATGTGAACTTCAATAATTCTTTCTACTTTAGGTTTAGAGCTGAGCTCCTCAAGTACTCTGTGTGATGTTTCTTCACTGCCCCCCTTGTGTTCAAATAGTCCTGCCAGTTCTCTAGAGGGGTCTTTGCCTGCCTGAAAAGCCTTTATTATATCATGTACAGACATAGTTTCTTCACATCTCTCAGATGTATTTTCTTTGCCAGGTGGTTTATGATAGACCATCCTGGTTGTGGTTGTTATGTGTGTCTCCTCCTTAACTCTCATTCCCTTTCCCATAGGATCCTCATCTGGACTGGCTTTGATCTGATAGCATTTTTTCTGTTCTGGACTAGATGGAATTTGGTTTTGATTACCTTTGAAATCTGACTCAACATATCTTACTGGCTGTGTGTCCTCCAGCTGTTTACCATCCTCTGGAGATTCATAACTGCGTATAACATGAACCACCTCAGTTCTAGTTTCAGTGATCACTGGGGGTATGGGTATATCTTGAAACAGAGCCTTGGGACCTGTGCCCTCAGCGCTCTGTGGAGCGGAGGGTGTTCTTTCACTTCTGGTCTCAAAACCACTGTCTGACAGTGGGCTTTTATCCTGCTCGTGTGAGATATCATCAGGTGATTCAAGCACCATGTCTGATCCAAAGAGTGCATCTGCTACTCTACTAATATCCTTGTCTGACAGTGATGAACGCATATTACTAGGAGGCATTTTTAGCTTATGCTCTTGAACTGCAACTGCTGGTTTCAGAACACGTTTTTGTTTTTCTTTTACATCAACATCACTGTTTACTACATCCACTTTATTAATTGTTTCCTGCATCTTTGAGAATGTAGTGCTCCCTACTTCATTAGTAAGATAGTCAACAACTTTGGAGAGGTTAAAGTCTCTATCTGAAATAGTTTTGGTTTTAGCTTGAGGAACAACTGTCTCATATCTAGGTGGAAAACTCCAATTGCTTGGAGGCTGTTCAACCGGCACTTTGGAGAATTGAATGTCATCTAGTGACCCTCTAGACACAGTAACAATTCCATCTCTCACTGAATCCTTTGTCAGTATTTCACTAACTTTAACTAAATCTTGTTTTACCTTTTCTACAATCTTATATGGCTCTTCATCATCAATCCTTGCTTCACATGGGGAACCGATCTGATAACCTTTACTGGCCACTGAATTTGGATCAGTTTGTAATATAGCAGACATGCGTATTAAGTCCTCCTTCATGTCAGCTACATCCTTCAAAATCTCTTGGCTGGATGACAGTGGTGTGATGCTTGACTTTAGGCTAGTTGAGTACAGATGGGTTTTGACAGGGGAAAGTGTTCTGGCAAAAGGAGACTGTATCTGGGCACTGAGTTCTGTGGGGGGTGCCTTACGAGGCGACAAAAGAGCAGCAGCTGACTTGGACACTTCTGGGAGCTTTTTAAACTGGGGCTCTGGTAGCACATTTATGACAGAAAACACTGGGACAGTCACTGTGCTGCATGTCACAGCAGTGGTGACATTGGGAGGGGTTCTCAGAGAGGCGTACAAAGAGTTGGAAGCTGATGATCTAATGGATTGATACGAGGAAGATGCAGAGGAGGACAGAGACTTCAATGTGCCATAGCCTGCAGAGCAAGAGTTGAAGGTTTTTTCCACCTCATCAAAGGCTGCGTTAACACTTGTCGTTGCAGCATTGGTGGTTGCTTGTATCCGTTCTTGCAGGCTACTTGCTAGTAAAGAGGTTGGTGTTGTGGAATGATATTGAGGAGGAGACATTGACCCATTAATTAATGCCGCTGCACTCTGAGCCGTATTAGACTTAAAAGGGGACGACAAAGAAGAAAAGTAGTTCCTTGCTGGTCCAGTGTTATCTGCAAGTGTCCGAACAGAAGAAAGTCCAGGTACTGTTTTTATCGGAGAGGAAGAGGTGGAACTGACAGACTTGTAGGGCGAAGGTGAGCTGAACATGCTCAGAGATGTTTTGGGCGAGGTTGGTGGAGTTGTTTCTTGTGATTTTTCAAGAACATTTACTCCTGATCCTGGTATGGAAGAAGTCCTTACAGACAAAGCTGCCAGTCCTTTCATAGACATATGGTCCGAGACACTTTTCCCAGGAGATGCCAAAGGACTGGTGGTAACAGGATACGGACTCTGTTGTAAGACAGTTTTTATAGGAGATGATAAAGTTCTATAGGAGCGGATAGGTGACGCATTGTCACTAGCTGACTTTACTGAAGAGGCTGGTGATCCAGGGATATTGGTTTTAATGGGGGATAAAGAGTTTATAGACCATACAGATTTTAGTGGAGAGGCAGAAGGCGTGTTGGACGATGAACTGGAGAGCGAGCCAAACCCAGACTTGGTTTGGAGGGCGGCAGGAACAGGAGACCACGCCTGATAAGATCTCGTTGAAAGGACAGGTTTGTGAGGGTGGCCAGAAGACTGTGTTCTCTGCGAGCTCCGATCAGAGGTTTCTTCAAATATAAGTAAAACCAAAGTAAAAGAAAAAGAAACAAAATAGAACATAAAGTAATATAAAGGGGAAAAAATTAAAACAAAAAAACAGAAAGAGAAATTTTGTAAGTCACATACAACAGTTACACTCTCAGCACACATCTTTAAACAAATTACACATTTCTACATTTCTAATATGAAGGTCTGAGATGGTATGACAGTAATGATTTATAATGAAGAATGCTACACTGCAAAGAACAAAATGAAACATGTGCAGCATAAAAGTGGCGACAATCTCAATGGTGGATTTGATCAATGCTAAGACAACAGTGAATGACAAATAAAAACAAATACAATTCCATTGACTTTAAATGTGCGTCTCCGACTTGTCTTTCACATAGAAGGACCCAACAAGTAGCAACCAAAAAATTAATCTTTGAGTAGTTGACAATTATTGTGATAGCCCAAAGTGAGTTTACAATAAGATGAACTTTACAAAAAGTAACATCACAACAATAGAACACTCCACACAAGTGTATCTAATGATGTCATAATAAGTTAAAAAGGCGCACATATGTTTGACTACAAACCTGCTATGGTATATTGTAGCACCAGAGCAAGTTTATATGAAGTGTAATTTGATCACAAGGAACTGATTTATTGGTTTTCCCATTTATCAGAGGATTTTGTCATTTATCTCATGTTATACCTCAATTTAAAGCCCAAATCTACACCTCTCTTATTGGAACTGCAAAAAGTCCATAGCAGCCATTGAGATCTTTAAATAAAAGTTAAGAACAATATTTCAATGAATTGACTCCATATTAATGATTGATTTTTAATTATAGAGGTGTTTGTGACTTGTTTCTTTAAATATCTGACTACACATATATAGTCTATCTACTATCTATACATGATTATTTAAGCAATACACAAATAAATGCTGATCGGAATCTCAAAAAATTGATTCTAAAAAAATGAAATTGGTTGTTCCTTACTGATCACACACAGTCATACACAGACAGCAGCACATATTTACAAAGCCAATAAGAGTGAGATGGCTAAATAAAACAAAACAATGAAGGAACAGTATGTAAAATGCAATTATTGTCGATAAGGACATTAAAAATGAAGTTGACAATCGATTTATGTGAAAACTTAATGAAGATTGTGTTGAGGTTTAGGTCTGGATTTCAACAAAGAAACTAGCGATCCAAATGAGAGACTCTGACATACTGTCCCTTTGAACATGAATTTTAACATTGAATGAAATAAAAATAGTATTTCCACAAATGTAAAAATGTAAACAGATGAAGAGATAGCTTTGGAATGAAGTATGTATGAAGCATAACGATAGACGATGCAGACATTAATAATGACGGATTGTAATGGCAGATGTCATGGATCCCTATTCATCTTAATATTTGGTTCTATAAACCTGATCAAATGACATCCACTTTGGAAAACAAAAGTATGGTCTGATTTAGATGTAAAGGGAAAACTCACTCAAGGCCTGGTCGGTCAAATAGCTGTAGCGCTTACGCAAAGCTAAGGAGGCAAAGGTATGACGTCGTTCGGGCTTTTCAGTCTGAAACAACAAACAAAAAGTACAAAAAAGCTTTAACATAAAAAATAGCAAATGGAATGATGTGTTTCAGAATGTGTGTGTTTTTCTACATCTTTTTTATAGATATTTAACAGGCACATCTCAGAGTTCTGCTTTAGTAAAGACATACTCTAAATTAGATTATCCTGAAATGTGTCAATATTTGATGTAGTCATTTCTAGAGGTGTAACAATTCATATGTAATGTTCGATTCACAGTTCAGGAACCCTGATTAATGGACCCTTTACATTTTTCTTATTTTGTTGTCACATGAAACAACATTGGTTCCAGAAATGCGCTACATGTGAAGGGGGAGCAGAAAGCCAATGGCCCATGGGCGGTCACAACCGGTTGAGGATGTCATAAGCACAAGGGGAGATGGCAGACAAGTGATTTGACACTTGACCGTCTGACATCATTGCGGCGCTATCGTATTGTGAGCCTGCCATGGATCAATTGTTTGTGCAATGCATTGTTACCCTACGTCATTTCAGAAAGAGTCAAAATACACTCCATGTGCAATGATCCTTTAATGAATATTAATATATTTTATGCTTGCAGGCACACCTGAAGCACATAGTAATGTGGATATGTAAAATATATATATATACATCTTTCAGTTATTTCAGAAACCCATACTGTTATTTCAAATTACTTACATTAATCCCACATACATCAACATATTGAACTTTGAAATTTTGATTAAGTATATCTGTACAGTACATGTGCTTGTTTAATTTCTTTTATTTCACTCATTTAGTCAAACGAGAATAACTTAAATAACTAAAATAATCTGAGCACAATTTGCATGAGGATCTTTCAAGACTTAAGGCATGGTACCCTTCTTATTGCATGTGTGTGTGTGTGTGTTGAAGGTTTAAATGAATGGCATTATCATTCTCAACAAGATGGTTTGTTTGAAAATGCATGAAAACAATGATTCGATTAAGCCGACTTGAAACACATAAAGACTCCATTGAACTTGGAATGAGAACAGCCATAAAGATGCATAATTCCCATTTGTTTTGTACAGAAATCACATTCAGCACACATATCTGGGCAGAGATAGGCATGCCGCATTCTAGAGCCTCGTTTGACGGGGCGACTGCACATAAACAGTACGGTACATTTTGAAAACAGTATAGTCATTAAATGTAGCCTTAGCGCTCAAGCCAGCGTAATGATAAAAGAAAGCTGTTTGTGTGATGATGAAGACTGTTTACCTCATCATCAGGATCAGACTCCAAATCCTGTGGTTTTCCAAGATGCATTGCAGGTGCAGAGAGAGGTGACATGGAGAGCAGGGACGTTACAGTGAGCGGGGAGGAACAAATTAAATACAGGGAATGCAAATGGAGCAGCAAAAACAACCAAGAGCATCCGGGCAAATCTTTTTGGTTAATGACAAAAGTAAAATAGCAACATAAAAAAGCAACAGCAACATTTAATATCTTGTGATCATCAACCAATACCACAACATTTCTAAATGTCTTTTCTGAAACCAAACTGAGCCGGCCAGGAAACAATTACAAGCAGAACACTGCATGTGTAGATTATGATTGGCACAAGTTTAAACACTAAAATACGACGCAAGCAGCAGGCAGTCATTCCCAACCAAACAGAGTGCAGTGGTTCCTCTGGATGTCATGGCTGTGTTGTCTTCCCATTACTTTGTTTCATTTATGAGGATGATATGATGGGGACTTGAGAACAATGCTTTAAAAAAAAGCAAGCCTACCTTTTTGTGTGTTGGCAGTATGATATTCAAATTGCATATGGCAGTCTGAGGCAGACCTTTAGTGGATTTCGGTTCCCTCAAAAAAGACAAGCGGCCACAAGGATCCTGGCCCATGTCCCTGATCTGAAAAAGATACAAAAAACATTTTGAAAGTTAGAGACTTCTCTCTGAGTGTCAACAATATGATCATCTTTGAATTACACCTTTATTCCAACAAGAGGAATTTCTCTCTCAATCGAGAACTCATAGGACGTACATTTAAGCGTGATAATCCACAAAGCTGTTGTGGTAAAATGGCATCATAGGTTCACATTTCTTATTTAGCCTTCAACCATTGCATTCTTAATGCGATTCAAAGCTAACTTGGTCCAAAGGGTTGTACGGCTCATGTTCACAATAGACTTTAGACACGCGACTGACCCATTTTTGTGTCACTGAGGCATCCTGTAAGGATGATTCACTGGGACCCACCTAAGATGTTGATGGACGGCTGGGATTTAGTGAATTGTTTTTGTTCTGTAATACAAGTACTTGTCTGGCTCCTTTGTGTCATCGTAGATACCCTGCACATGAGCGCACAATTTTCACTTAGGACCAGTTGACCTACGTTTTTTTTATGGAAAACTTTTGATTCAATCAATTGAATGGGCTAGTCTAAAGATGACTCCAAGGTAAAGTGCTTTTTCAAAACCAAACCTCTGCCATCCATCAAACAATTATTATATGCATTTGAAAATAAAGTGACAATAATCCACAAACTGTAGTTGCCTGATCTGGCCTAAAAGTATCAGTTATCAAAAGTTTGTTTGTGATAAATATAATTGCAAGAAACGCAGAAAATCCATGAATATGATACAAATTAGAAGTCAAAGTGTGTCTATTGCTAGAAGTTGTGTGTTGTATTCAATATACCTTCACATTGAACGGGAGTCTGTTTTCTTTGAAGGAGAAAAAGTTAAAAACCAATTGATGGCCCCCTTTGGTCAACGGTGACAAGTTGCCATAACAATCAATAAATATTGGTTTTCCTTCCAGGACCTACAGGAAAAAGGCAAAAAGAATTGTGTTTAAAGGTTTTACAATTCACACAAAATACTAAAAGTTTAAACCGTATTAAGGAAATCCCACCTCAATGTCTTTACTGCGAGCTACTTCTTCAAAGTTCTCTTGTTGTTCCAGAGTCTTGTCCACCTTGTCATCCGTCATGCAGAAACAGCGGAGCCGAGCCTCTACAATGTCGTTCATTTTGGCAAACACCACAAACTTGGCCAGATACGGCACGCAGATCAGCTCCCGGTATAACTGAGACGCTAAACTAACCGTCTCAGGAATCTGGTGACAGTCTGCGAGCCAAAACCTAGACAAAGTAAATAAGAATCTATTTTTAGAAGAAAAGATACAACTTCAATATTTAACTACATTTCAAGTGACATGCAACAGAACTAGCGTGCGTGATAGAAAAGTCACTTTTTTTTTTTACACAATAATCTAATCTAAGACAGCACTGGACAACTGCTCACGTAGCTCATGGTTCAAATTCTAATTTAGGTATGCTAGAAATGCTGACTTAAACTATTTACTGCTTAAACACAATGAATGAATACGTTTGCAGTGTGAGTCAGATCTGTGCGAGTCCCTCAGGACTAAAGGTACTTAAACCATTGCTCTATGTGGGAGCGCTGTGAGTGCAGTGCAAGACTTTACTTTTCCCACACCCTGCAGCCGTCTGGCTTTTTTCTGCTAATTAAACAAGTGAACCCCATGATCCCATGAATCCCTGTGAATCTGCTCAGCTATGATCAAACCAGCACAGCAGATGACTGCAGTCAGTACTCTAGTATATACCAGTGTGTATATGTAGTATGCAGCAGTGTGCCAAAAGCCCTGTGTTAAGTCCTACCTGGCCGATACATTTGTGGTGAAGGACACACAATCTGTAACAAAGGAGAGAGGTGTTGTCCCTGTGATGTCTTCCCACTGGGCTGGAGACGTGCCTCCTAAAGAATAATATATTATAGTATTTAATAAAAATACACAAGACCAGAATTCAGTTTTTGTCTGTGAAAAGAGTGCTTCCTGCCTGTGATGCTGCAGAGCAGACGGAGGCATGGCGCTGCGTCTCCTCTCTGGCCGCTTGGATGACCCTCAGCTGATCGAGGAGGAACAGGTATCGTCATGGTGATGGGCTTGTGGAACTTTCTTCTTCTGGGTTCCACAGTGACAATAGGGCTGAAGGTGGCTCTGTTCCCAAGAACTGCTCTCACCATGTCATCAGGCACTGGCTGGGCCTACACAGGAGACAATACACAATATTTTACAGTATTTTTCCAGAAGACAACGTAATATTCCAGAGAAGATCAGGGTCAGAGATACCTGAAGGCCAACCCGTATCTTCTTAGTGAGTGCTCCTGGAGGAAATGAAGCCTGGACCATTGGTACTGTGGAGCTGGACAGCATACCTCCATCTGGACCCATGTGGTTTGACTCCTGTTTGATTCGTGAAACGACAGCAAAATACTGAGGGAAATCTTGTGTGACAATGCGACAAATGCGTTTCTTCTCCAACTCAGCTGGACTGTCTAGCTCTGCACACAAAAAAATACGACAGTTTTGTTAACAAGGCTTAGTTATTTAATTGAATGCACTATGCATTCCTCAAATGCATTGAATCATCAAGTGTGATTTTGTTAATACTATTGAGTTAGCGTTAGGGGTAGCCACCTTTGGTTTATAAGACCAAAGGTGGCCAGATAGGTAGTGAGACAGTATTATACAATAATCAGTCCAGTTGTATTTTTTTAAATAAATTGGAGGAAAAAAAGTGTACAGAAATATATAAATATACAGTAAGTGTTAAGGTCCTAAACCGGACCCCTCTTTACCTTCGTCCATTCCACTGAGCAGCTCGACCAGGTCTTCAGGTCGACCATCAGACTGATGCTCCTTCCAGGTGTCACCATTGTCACTCCTTAGAACAATAAGCTCCCTCTCTTTGCCACGCATTGAACCGAAATGAGGAATCTCCACAATCACTGGGCTGAAAACAATTATAAACAACAGTTAAAACAGATTAAGTTCGAATCGTAAATTAGATTAATAGATCCAGCTACCCAAGAAATTGTGCTCCTGCTGGCCCGACCTCCACCAAGCGACTGACCAGGCCCTCTCCCTCCACCATGGGGGGAGGGTATGCCAGCTTGTGCCTCTTGGCCAAGCGACAGGTGATTCGAGTGGGTGCGGTACATTTCCTCGGAGGAATTATAATCCGCATTCCATTGTGCCGACTACCCCTCATGGATCCACCTCGAGCATCCACCATGAAGCTGACCAAAAATCTGCCAGGCACAAAACGACTCGTTGAGAGCAAAGAATAGAGGAACACGATGAAGGCAGGAAAACCACACTACTGAGACAGGTGAAGAGGACAGATCCCATGCTGTGATCACTGTACTCCAGAAAGAGTACTACACCCACATTTAAGCATAGACACATTGAAAACAGAGAGCTTTTGAGTACTGAAAAAATATCACCGTTATAAGCCCCAAAGTATTCAAATTTGTCAAACTAAACCAGACCAGAACAGGGGGTTTAGTTTCAAATTTGAGGGCTTGAGGTGTTGCTTAAGTTTCTGGTACTCTGAAGCTACATCCAGTTATACAACATTTAACCGCTGTGAAGATTTACGGTATTAAATTGAATGTTATGTTTGTCATGAGTCGATGCTCTGATGACCATACAATAGCGATGTTGAAATCACACTTGTATAAACGTAATTGTCTATTCTACTGTGCGCATTGCAGATGACACACAAAACCACACAGATGGAAATGTGACAAAGTGTCACAAGAAAATGAAGAAAGAAGAGGGAGTGACATCACTGTGGCTTCAGTCATCACCTGGAGTCATACTGAGGGAGCGGGGAGGACAAGCTGCAAAGAAACACATGGGGACAATGCAGGAGACAAACCTTGAAAACCTTATTCTAGGAGCCCTTGCAACATTCTACCAAGCTCTTATTATTATCATTATTATTGTCATTAATCATTATCATTTACAGCAACCTTTCAAACACAAAATGAATGAAGAAACATTTTGGGTTCAATGACAATGTGCAGCTGGTAATTCTGGAGGCAAACACATACACACACACACACACGTACACACACACACAAACACACACGCACGCACACACACACGCACGCACGCACTGAAGAAAGTGGCGAAATAAAAAGTTTCATTGCCTTGACTTTAACTCGACTCGACTTAAACATTACAAAACCAGCAACGGCCAAGACGAAAGAACATGGTGGTATCACAAGCTCTATGTAAAAATCCTTTATGTCAACAGTAATTTAGAACGAGGGCCCACTCTTATAATTCTTGTTGTAAATTAAACAAGACAAGTTTCTCTGTTAAGTTTACTGCTGTCTTTATCTATTCAAACTAGTCAAATGACATGAGTATCTCAGCAGTAGATCCAAATTACTGCAATACGATATGTCACCTGCCCAAGGACTACAGATGGAAAGTAGCTGGAGCTTTGTCTGGTGAAAATCATCTCTTCTTTTGTCAAGAGTAAAGGTTTTGCACATTGTCCTTGTTCTATTAAAACAATAAACTAAACTGTAGCATCTATCATTCTCTTGATGGGACCAGAAGAGCCTAATTAAACCGTGCAGAACATCTTCCTGATTTGTATGGCCTTTCATAGCAGAAAGCAACTGTCTGTACTCACCCAGAATGGATGGGGCTGGACACAGTGTGGTGGCTGTGGTCCGTCATGTCCGGAGTCCAGCTGTAGCGCCGCATACACTCAGTGTTGTAATCCCTCGTCACCGCCAGATGCTGTAAAACAGGCATCAAGAGACAAAAACAGACAATGTAAAACCCCTCACAGAGAAGCACCTACACACTGTTGAGAATGGTGATGAGACTGAAATGAGCTGCTTCACATTGTTACCTAATGTGTAAGAAAACAAAAGCTTATATGAAAACTCAAGACATACGATGGAATTATGACGATGGAAAATATTGTCTCTTCCAAAAGACAAAACTGAAAAAAATACAATTCAAGGAATGCGCAGCAATGACGGAAGAGAGACCCCCTTGAGTGTGTGAAAAATAAATAAACAAATGACAACACTGATTATGCAATAATGAATACCTTGTTTAGGGGGTCAACCAAGTAGGATATGTCTTTACAGACACTCTGAAGCTTAAGGAAGAGGAGAGATTGATACAAAATGTTGGTTGATTTATTTAATATTGTCTAAGCCTGTAAAGGGCCGTAACAGAGAACCAACATTGTGTTTGTATTGCACTAAATATGTTTTTACTTATATCTTGAGTGAATCAGAATACAATTGACATGGATTATGAACACTTTGACTGAGTATCTTGAGTGAGAGTATCTGTATCTATACAAAACTAATATATAGACATAATTTTTCTGAAAGTGATGTCTTCTGCACAGTCAGGATATAATCAACACTGTCCTTTTACAACATGTACAAGAATGTATTTACCGTGTCTTTGGTGGGCGCCAATATCTCCTCGATCATCATACTGTCCCGTGCATAGGAGCTCCGGTTGAGTGTGTTGGACCTATCCGAACTGAAGGAGCGGAGGCTACACGTTACCATGCAACCCAGTGCCGCAGGCAACAAGAAGTTATGGGAACACAAAATAAAACACAAAGTACATTATTACATGCAACCTCCAGGGAACCAGGCTGTGTGGACAGAGAGTGGCCACGGCAAAAAGAAGATTTAAGGTTTAGGAAGCTGGTTTAGCGCTAGCAAGAGAGCAGCAAGAGGACACTCAGAGATGCAAGTAGGAGAAAGGACAATGTTTGCACTAGGAGAGATAAGAATGGAGAAGGAAAGAGGGGACACTACTTATCTATTGAAAATTTAAATTAATACAAATTAATATTCCAGTATGACATAACTAAAACACTCCAGAAAAGTTGACAGCCTTTTCTTAATTGTTAAAAATCTACTTTTGGTTGGCATAATAACAACTGAAACCATCTTTCAGACTAATACTGTAGCACAGACCTCCACCAAGAACCGCTTTCACTACTTTATAAAGATAACTTCCTAATTGTAATACTTTGTTCCTTGTTCCTTGTCCAATCTCTGAGGTTAAATGAAAAAGTTGCTTGTTATCTTGCTAACTGGCAAACAAACAGACCCAGATAAACACATGAACTCCCTAGCGGACCACCTTTAGTTGTCCCACCGTGGGTACATTTCAGCGTTATATAAACTGCATTACAATGAAACATAATTAGGTCAAAAGACTAAAATAACGAATAATTGGTTTTCAAAATAAAACCTGGCTTTAATATGTCTAATGCAGCTGCTGCGCTCTTTTGGTCTAAGATTAGCAGCTGACCTAAACCAGTTTGAGGAAGACGAGACGGAGGAAGAGGAGAGCACTTTCTCTTCGTCTTCTGCAGTGTCCTTTATGACTGAACAGACAGACACACTCCTTCAGTCTTCAGAACGTTCTTAACACACGCCTGATTTTTACGGACCCCAGAGCAAGAGGAGTTTGGGACATTAACTGGTCCTGAGTCACCCATGCTTTTTACTATATAGGAAAAAGGTAGAGTCGCCTGAAAGATTCAAAAACTGACAACTCTGTGGTTTATTATGCATGTGTGTATGTGTGAGCAGAGCAGAGGACAGAGGGAAAATGCAGAGCTCAGCGGGTTTTAGTGGGTACACATTCAGCACAGAGAGAAGGCCTTTATTCAGCAGGCCTGACTAACCCCTGCATCCAAGTTACCAAGCAACTCTGTACAGCTTGAATAGAGAGGCTGGCATGATAACAACACCAGTCTATATCAATGTGGCGTCCCCTGCCTGACTATTCTCTACAGTTTCCTCCTCATTCTAGTAATTTCTATTCCGCTTCAAAGTGCCCTTGCGTGTATGCAAAATATATCTGATCTCTGAAATATAGCAACCGATTCATGACTGTATAGTTTATGAGGGCAAGGTCAGATTCTTTTGCAATCCCTGGAAGTTGCGATGCGAGTCATGCCACAGCAACACAAAGTTCAAACCAAAATGAGGAAAAACTTAAAATCACAAAACACTTAAGACAAAACAAAACAGCAATAGAAAAGGATGCCTCCTTCTAGAACCGGGCTGGAGCATGGTTGGGATGAGTTTAGATGGACAAACTAGCAAATGACACAAGACGACAATCAACGCTTACAAATATGAGATGATTTTGGTTAAATATGGATGAAGTGAAGTGGATTTATCAATGTACACAGCATTCACAGCTACTGTCGGATTTTAGACTGTTATCACAGCTCTTACCTGATTCTAGGGCTAAAAGGACAAGACAGGGTAAAAGAAGGAGAAGAGCAAAATACTGAAGTGAAAAGAAAATCAATTCAAAAACATGTAAGCACGAAGTCTGTGTTTTCAAGTATTTGGTGCAAGTTTGGATAGTTCTAGAAAAGTTTAGATGACAGCCAAAAGTTATGCCAATGTTATGAACAAACCAGTAACATCTAAAGAGTCATAAAATCTTCTAAAAGTTGACAAGCACACTTTCAAATTGTGACTAAATGATATTCACTGTTCAACAAATGAATCTTTTAGGTTGATCTATTTGAAGTTACATATATAGTACTTGCTAGACTATTCAGCGCACCTGTATATAAGCAGCAGCAGCTAATTTTCAAAAGAAAGCACGGTTTGTTCACATAAAGGCCACACTTGTATATAAGCTTTCATGTTGTAATGTAACACTTAACCAGCAGCTAATAAAGAAAAACCAACAAAAATAATGATAGAAAACTATTTAAACAAATCAAGGCAAACATTTGCTAAAGTTGGGATGCTCACCCAAACTGTTAGCGTCCATGTCGGGGACTCATTTACCTTTTTTAACAATACGCTACTCAAACTTTATGGAGTCACATTCATAAATTTGTATCTGACGACAGCCCTAATCAGTCCTGTGTATTTTTCTGCATTTCCATAAGTTAAATAAACAACAGCTGAGTCCAATTTCTTTCCTGTGACCTGAGGAACACTCTAACTCCATGAAAATACATACATTGGCCGCATCGCTATAAAAGCCAGAGTTGAAAAGAACTTGGAAAAAGTAGCAGCTTATAGTTCAGCAACTATACAGTAAACACAAATCTATTGATTAAATATTGATTACTAGTATCCAGACAAATTAGCAGTCATACAAACAACATCCTATTCTTGTGCTAACCTATCCCCTTGTCACAAAGGGGAAAATTTAAGAAGTTAAATTGAAGTTGTGATAATATGAACTGTTTCAATGAAAATAGTGCCATAAAATGCTGAATCATTTGTCTACTTTGATTGCCATTTTAAATATTAACTCATTTATTTTTAGTCTGAAAAACAGATGAATACTAATAATCATACTACTACGTATTTACACTAAATATACACATATATTGTCAGAAGAAATCTTTATATCTTAACACATGTATATATTAAACCATGGATAATGCAGCTGTGTCTGTGTTGAGCCATGTGCTTACCTGGCTGAGCGAGCACCGATACTGAAGCCCATGTAACCCTCCTGAGGGAGAGAGTCATCCCCGAGCTCCTTGAGGTCCTGGGGCCGCAGGTATTTGTCTGTGTCTCCAGTCATGGCCTCATCACCTGGAAAAAGGCAACGATCAGACTCCACAGAGACAATCCAGGGAAAGACTTGGACGAAACACAAGCCCCTCATGTGATCATATCCCACTACTTATCTGATGTTAGTACTTTGGGAGAAAGTCATTATTCAGCATTATTGATTGTACACTGCATAGCCCACTGCAACTTTCACACGCTGCAGTCAAAAGTGTATCACAACAAAAGCACTGGGTCTGGTGTGAAAAGCTTTCAGAGAAGAACAGTGACGTCTGAAAAGATGCAGAACCAAAAGCACTTTGCACCACATCTGGACCTCAGTGAAAACCAAACGCAGCTCTATTATTTTTTTCTCCATCTCCAAACCAAAAAAAGCCAAAAGCAACATAGAGCCATCAAAGTCCTGGCCGAGTCTCCAGGAGCAGAACCAGCGCACCTCGATCGGCGGACCGGTGGACGATGACACGCCGCTCAATGACGGCGCTGGAGCGGGCTCTGTGTTTCTCCTTCTCCCTCATCTTCAGCTCTGTCCTGGCTGCAACACTGTGCTCCTTCCCGCAGCCCCTCCCGGTGGAGCCTGCATATTGCCGCACTCACACGGCACCAGCGACGGCGTGAGACCTGCGCGCACGCACCAGCCACGGATCCGTAACGCGCCTTCACAATAAAGCACGTCCTACTTTGGGCAGTCTATTAATAAACCTGGGGGAAAGCACGTCCACTCAGCAGGTATAGGACGTAAAGGATCACTCGGTAACACTGCAAGCGTGGTGACTGAATGAGTTGATCTGCTTCACACTTTATTTATAATAGATCCAGGGTTTCATAGCTTCCGACAAAAGCTTATAACTGATTTATTGCAGTTCCATTTTTACGAATCCCATCCTCCAACACACATAATGTAGTCTATGCAGTTTCGTTTTTAGCCAGTGGGGGAACAAAAAAGAATAATTAAAAACTTCATACCTTTGTCTACTGCAGCCATGAGAAATGCAATTTTTTTCCAGGTCTAAAATCCACAGAGTTCAAGGGCAAATCCAGGCGGGGGTCCAACGCAACTGTTGCTGAAATGGATGCGCTCCTAACTCCGCTCTAAACAAACTCGACTGTGCGTGTGACGTGGTAGCCTCTCGCACATCTCTATTACACTTTAATTAATAAAAAAAAAAAAAAATTCAAGTATTTTCTTTCCTCACAACAAAAGCGGTAAAAGGTGTGTAGTCCAATCCATCTGACGCAACCGGCAGCCCCGAGGTTAATACCCCCCCAGTAGAGACGGCTCAACCAAAGCTCATCTGCCTGGATTTAGACACAGAGGAAGAAGCCTACTGTATGTCCACGGCGTCAATGGTTTCACCCTCTGTGGAGTCACCGGCTGTAGCTGCTGTGGCCAAAGGGAGCTCAGAGTGACAGAGTGGACTGAACTCTCCCAGGGCTCCTCTGGGGCTGGCTGCTTTTCAGACTGGGAGGGTGGGGGCAACTGTCACCTATCACAGGTACTGCATTATCATCTTGTTACATTATAAACTCACATGGGCAGGGGTGCATTGACATTTGACGGTTCACAATTATAAAGTCAATATGTATCAAATGACTATGAAGAACGTTATCATCAGACAGCCTTAAATGTCCCAATTAGAGCAGTAGTAGTCTATATAAAGCAATTGGTCAAGCTTTTCCAGAGCACAGCAATGCACTACCGTGACCTGTCATTCACTTGCCCTGCAGCCTAATAGGATAGGCTTCCTTTATATAGGATTAAACAGTCCCTTGGAAACTCTAAACATGCAACAAGTATTCTCTCCCTCCAATATACTTAAAAATCAATGCAATTGCAGTGAAAAACGAAAACGTGGCTAAATGTTACAGTTATGTAAAGCCTTTGCAGAGATAGAAACACAGAGCAGTTGACATGTGTGCAACGTGCCTGTTTCAAGTTCAATGTTGATAAATTATGCACATTGTATAAACAGTTTACACGGAGGCACAAGGCCATGGACTCGGCTGTATATATTTCCTACACAATTAAAATAAAGCAGATACAAAATTCAATATATTTTTTTATATCAGCTTCTGCGTCACTCAATGAATCCACGGAGCCATGTGTGAAACCTGTGAACAGATCAGCTGACTGAAACCCCACACGGAGCAGCAGCCCATGAACAAACTCATCAATTTTACACAAGTGTGGCTCTGTGGTTCACAACAGACAGTGTGGACACACTCTGAGTGACTCCAAAACTCTACTTAAGGACATTTAGCTCTACAGCATTATGGGGGCAGCCGTACAGCGGAGGTCACCTGTTATGTACTCACTGAGCACACTTTAAAAGACCATGTATTATAAATCCAACACAAAGCTGAGCATGTATGGACACATGACACCAGTTTGGAAGACTATAGTCACTCTGTGATAATGCAGGCCAACAGCTTCACAAAATACTAGATAAGTTTGGCTTATATCATGAGCCAAAAATGTTTTTAAGCATAAAAAAGTGATTTTGCTCAAACAAGTGTGTTTTCATACCTTCATCATCGGACATGTCCAAGAACTCGTTCATTGTCTCTGGGACATTGATTTTATTTTTTTCTGCAGCAACCTGCTGGAGGGAGAAGACTGTTAGATTTTCAATGAAACACGGAAAGGACTCCCCACAGGTAACTGCTGCATGTTATACGGTATAAAGAGCCGGTCTCTGTAGGATAAATAATAGAAGAGCCCTTCCAAGGTGTATGAAGATGACCTTGATCTTTGGGCTACATCACAGAGGAGAGGGATATTATTGAGTCATACTCTTTGCTGCTGATGATGCAGTGTTTCGTCCTCTTTGTCAACTCTGTCTTTTTTCAATGTCTCCTACTGCATTCTTATCACAAATTCACCCTAACATCATATCAATGTTAAATTGCAATAAAACCATATCTTTAGTAGATTTGTTATGGATATATTTTTGTTTTAGAGTAATTTCCCCTTGAGTGTCTATTTATATGTTTATTTATGTGGTTGACTTTAGCCTTACCACTGAATTCAGGTTGTCGTCGGTAACAGGCCGCAGAGTGTCCACCACAGAGATGTAGCCGAGACGGCGGGCGATGGACAAGGCAGTGTTCCCGTTCTGACCAGACACAGTAACACAGAGGTATATGAGTGTGTGTGTGTCTGTGTGTGTGTGTGTGTGTGTGTGTTCTAACCACAGACACTAACAAAAAGGCATGAGTGTGAAGTGAGTGAGTGTGCTGTGATTGTATGTGTGTGTCTGTATGTGTGTGAGTGTGTGTGTGTGTGTGTGCGTGCCTCTGTGTGGGTGTATGTGTGGGCATATGTGTGTGTGTGGGTGAGTGTCTGTGTGTGTGGGAATATGTGTGTGTGTGTTCTGACCAGGGTGAGCTCATTGGCCGAGGCTCCGTGCTGAAGCAGCAGGTTGATGATGTGCGTGTGGCCCTGTTGAGCGGCCTGGTGGAGAGGCGTGTACCCGGTCTGAAACACAAAATATACAAACATAAAATACAAAACACGACTCCAAACTCAGTCAACAAAACTGTTCTATGTACCTTTGTTTTTCCGTTAATTCTTGCATGATGGTGCAACAAGAAGTTTGCCATCTTTGAGTTCCCATAATGACAGGCCACATGTAATGGAGTGTAGCCAGTCTGAGAAAAAAGGGAAGAGAAACAGAAAGATGTGTAAATATACTGATACAAACAAGTGCAAAAACTAAAACATACCAATATTTCACATGTTCACAGTAAGTAAGTAAGTAAGTAATCTTTATTTATATACCGTCTTTCACAGACCAGAGTCATAAAGCGGTTTACAATTGTGGAATTATGCACACTGTATAACGGGGTGGGCAATTATTTTCTCCTGGGGCCACATTGGGACATTGTAGAGGGCCAGACTCGCTGCCATGTAATTACCATTTAATTTAATAAGGAAACAACATATTGGAGTGTAAGCTACACTTATGTCAAAAATGCAACAACAAAAATATATTTAATAAACACAAATATTTTGCAGAAGAGAAGGAGGGGGAAACTCTAAGCTATTCATTTTTATCTTTGTGCTTGTGTAAAGTGTGATGACTCAACTTTTGCTGGACAAAAGCTAAAACAGGCTAAGCTAAAGTTTTGTGGACAGATGTTGTTGATTAATTATTAGTTAGCAAACCTTCATTGGGTAGTGATTCCCATTCATTTAAATAGGGGGGAGACAGAATGAAGTTTGTGCATGGGAAAAGGTCCGAGGGTCATAATGAAACGTGAATCTAGCCGCACTTTACCCATGTCTGCTGCTGCACATAATATTGTAGGCAACGGTTAGTGAATTTGCAGGAAACTGTCCCCTCAGCACATTGACACACAGACCTGGTTCAACCTTGTGATACAACACATTCATAAACCATAGTCATCACTCTCTGAGACCATTGGCCGGTTTAGAGGCAAAGTATAAAACAGACGAACCTAGAAAATGTGTCAAACATGTACAAGCACTTCATGAACCACCAGAATCTGCATCATTTGCTCAATCAGGAGCAGTTACATGAGTGTGCTCTGTATCCAAGGAGGTTCCAATATCATTTCTTTGTGATCTGATACCAGTCCGACAACATTGTAAATTGGAATTAACAGAAAATAAAAATTTATAGAGGTGTAGGAAACTTCCCAGTCACACTTTCTTGACATCTGGTATTTTTTTAGAAAGAGAAAATTCTAAGACTATTTTCCAGATATTGATATTATTTTGACCAAGTATTTACCAATACAATATAATACCAATATAGCGAGCACCTTAAAAAAACACAGTCACATGATTGGTGCAGTGTGTCAGCTCATGAGCGAGCAGGCTGAAGGATGAGCACAACAAACAGAGATGTTTTAATATTTAGTCGAAACATTACTAACATTACTAACTAAATAAGACACTTGGGAACCACACTTTTTTCTTTTTTTCATTTTTACTATTTTTAATAACAAATTAAGTGTATTTTTACTCAAGTTGGAACTGAATTTCTCCATCTGTGAGATAATAAAGGATTGATTGATTGATTTTAACTTGTATATTAACTAAATGTACTTTTTAGTTATGATTTAAGGCAACTTTGAGTATCTAGAAAGCCGTCAAAGAAATAAAATGTCTTATGATCAATATTATAAGTTCTGACCAGATGGTGATGGTCGGAGGCTGTGTATAAAGATGACTTACTTACTCGTTCACTTGTTAGTACCTGGATTCTTACAATTCATTCTATCAAGTATTGTTTTGAGAAAGAAGAACAAATTCAGACGTGTGTTACCTTTGTGGGGGTGTTTATATCAGCCCCATGATTGAGCAGGACTTCTGCAACATTAACTTTATCTTCCTGAGCTGCTAAATGAAGAGGTGTAAGTCCGTTCTGAAGAATAGAATAACGTAAAAATATAAGGTCAATACAAAGATAAAGGAAAATATGATGCAGTTAAAGTTATGTGCGGAAAAATGATTGAATTGCACCTTATTGCACACGTCGACATGAGCGTCCTTGGCCAGCAGCAGAGACACCAGGTCGACGCTGCCTTCCTGAGCTGCCAGGTGAATGGGACTGATGCCCTGCCGCGTCACTGCGTTTGTGTCGGCCCCATACTCCAGCAACGTGGTCCCAATGTCCATTTGGTTCTTTTTGGCAGCGATGTGTAGCGGCGTGTAGCCATTCTGGTGAAGGGAGAAGAAAGGATAATTTACTAGAGCTTTTTAATATATAGTACATAATATATACATTACATGTCTTAAATCTGGAGTACCTAACTGAGACTGGTGCATATGACAATTCAATTCAAATCAAATAACTTTATTTATCCGTGAGGAACTTCATTTGCAGACGGAACACAGATTGTAAACTATGCAATCAAATCCATGAAAATAGTTTTTTTCGATCACTAGATTTCACATGCAGGTATTTTTGGTCCCTCACATTTTTATATTAGCTTTTATCAGACAGAAAAAAGGAGGACACCAGACCACCCTCACTCGACCAATCAGCTCTCAGTACGTAAGAAAGAACGTGTTTTTTATTGAGTTAAAAGCAACGTGTGGTGGTCTGATTTGTTCACGCAATAATAACCTAAACAAGTCTCTTTCTGTTGGGACAAACAAAAGGTACTCATGAAACAAACAGAGAGTTAGGCGCTCCAGCTTTAATGAGTTTAAAAATAAACGTTTCAAGTTTATTTTTACCCACCAACTAACTATTGAATATGTCTATATCAGTTCAGAGTTTAGAGCCACACATACAGTTGATACAAAAACAAAAAGATAATGTTTGTTTAACTGCTAAATAGAGTTCAAAAGGAGTAGGCAGAATACAAAAATTACTTAAAAACGCCAATATATTAAAGTATATTGCAACATGTAACTCGTCTACACCATAAGGCATTGCAAGTACATTTCTGCTGTAACCCGTATTCCTGTTTTTCAATTCTATCAACATATGCAAACGACAGGTGAGAGGTTAAATTTAAGTTAGATAGTTCATTGTTTTTTGTAGGGTTCTAATATATATTTTCATGTTCTATAAAAAAAGTGTTGAAATACTGTGTCAAAAATGGTCCTCAACATAATGCTAGTTTTCCTTATTCCACATTGTAAATATTATAAATCAACCTTTATAGTAAACCATTGACTCATTCCACAGCACCCTAAATGTGCCCAGAAATACAACCTTTGAATAATTAAAACAATGTATAGGTTGTAAAGGAAGAAGAAAGGAGTGACTAATGGTACAGTGAGAAAAGTCCTGACAAGTTAAACAGGGAGAGAGAAATAAATACGAGCGAGAAAGAGATTAGAGGATTACTGGGCCCAGAGAATAGTGTCGGGAGAAGAAGGTGTCAAGTCGAGATAAATGAGGGCTGAAGTTATGTCTCCTCCTGGACTGTCTACAGAACTGCTCGCACTGTGGTCCCGTATTCTCAATGGATGGTTTCGAATGACTCTCCTTGTATTTCAGAAACCAGGACCGTTTAAAGAAATCTAAAACGTTCATGTTGTATTGTAAGAGGAAGGTAAAACCCATAAATAGTAGAAACATATCAAGCAGTCAAAAGAAAAAAAATGTAATGTAATATATTGCATTAGGAAATATAAAAGATTTGGTTTTGTGGCTGCAGATACAAAAAATATCTGTAACACCAGGACTTCCTGTATTCTGAAACTACTACTACTACTACTACTACTACTACTACAGTAATATTAGTTTCCCTCAAAAAAGTGTATTTTTCACCATATTTATCAAAAGTATGTGTTAACCATTACTCACTTTATATAAGGGTGAGAGTTGGTGAATTCAACTTGAGGCTAAATGCTAACATCTGGCAGTAAACAGTGTGTTGCTATGGTAACTAGTACTAGCTCTCCTCCCAGAGTTAATGGTAGAACGCCTCACATTTCAAAAGTAAAATATATTTTAATCTACTGTAGTTTAATGGCATAGAAATAAACTGCATGTACGTAGATAGAGACAGAAGTTATGCAGACCCAAAAAGTACAAAAGCGGAGTAACTACAATTACCAAAACGAAAAGCTGAAATTCTTCATGCAATTTAAAATAATAATATACAGTTACAACATGTGGACAGCATTCACACTTTTGAATGTTATGAGCTGACGAGTGTTCACAGTTTAACACACACAAAATGCAGAGTTGAATGTAGAGGCTAAAGAGGAGGAACCCCGGTGCATGTTTGAGTGCCGATACCTTGGCAGCAGAGTGAGGGGACGCTCCCTGGTCCAGCAGCAGCAGAGCCACTCTCTGATTATCGTAGTGAGCGGCCACATGCAGAGGAGTGAGCCCGCTCTAAACAACAGTCCGAGCAGACACACAAAGACACGAGCATGCAGCACTAGGTTAGAATACTACCAACACAAAGTGCATTGAAGACACTAGTAACACGAGTAGAACATGAGAGAATGGAGGAGATTGACACAGACTGTGGTTCAGTACAAACTCATGCTGAGACAAGATCAAACAGATGAAATGGCCACGTATCTTTCAAACAAACCTTTCCGGCAGCATCAGGCGCAGCTCTTTTGTGTAGGAGCAGACTGGCAACTTCCATCTTCCCGTACTTTGCTGCTACATGCAAAGGACTGAATCCTTTCTGTAGCAGAACAATACAAATGGTCACAAATACAAGAAGTTAATGTAACACAATGTAACTTTGTGGAGGCGGTACTTCATCTTTATGTAAATATGAAGCGAAATATTTTAACATAATCGATAGATACAGATTTAAGGTTCTAGCCGAAGGAAAACATGTATATTAACATTGTAATGCACGCCTATTCTATGTGGGACAGGTGAAGTCTCAACAGCATTTTACTGTTGTTGTTTTTTGGGTAGATTTATTGAACTGTAAAAGTATTTAAAAAAGTCATCACTAGACTTGCATCTACTCAAACCTGACTCCTGAAACATGGCCCCTTCCTGCAAGTTTCCATTTAAAAAATCTGTTCCTTGGGCTTTAATCTTTCACAGAATGTTGTTTGACCTATCTATATCTATTCCAACGTATGGATTTAACTTTAACTCATTTTCTGGGATGATGCGGGTGACGTGCCACAAGCAACCTTACACGATAATGCTTAAAACAGGACCATATTTTCTAATTCAGACCTAATCATGCACGTATCCATAACGACAGACCTTGGTGGCCGAGGACATCTACAAAGACGATAAGAATCAAAAACAATCAAATCATTTAATTTGATTGTATTTTCTCAGAATCAAATTAAATACAATAGTCTTGGCAGGTCAAGCCAACATACCAGGAAGTCAAATACCACGTACTCAAGTTGGAATCTCCAAAAAATACTCTTTCTGTGTACATCTGCAAATCTAGACAAAATGCATCACTGTGAATTGCTAAAATGCTGTCGTAACATTTTTCCTGCAACTCTGTCAGAAAAAATGCTGAGAACCACTCATTCCTCTGTATCTACAATGATTGTTTTGTAATGTGATCATGTAAATCTTGGCTTCCTTCCCGTGTGCTAGATATTTTAAGACATGACATCATTTTTTCCAGTAGAATGTGGAACTTTCGCAGATTTCGTGCTCGCGAATGTTTTGACCTCATTGGGCATTTGAAAGAGGAGGTTAGCGAGATGGCACTAGTTATTTCTGTCGACAAACTATATAGATTCGTTTTCCCTAACCATCGCAATGACATAATTTCCTTGAGCGCAGGTGGTGTCCCCAAAGATGCTCCATGTTCAGAGAGTGAGAGAGGAGAGAGAGGGAAAGTGCACTTTGGGGCATATACTATACAGATTTGTCCCATTTAACAGGGTCAACATGAAGGAGAGCCTCAGGCCACAAAGCCCACCATTCACAATCGACCATAAGTGAGTTATTTAGAAATCTGGTCCTTCTTTCTATTTGACCTTCATCTGGCAATTAGACAAATGTGAGTCTACACGCCTCCACTTTACAATGTGGTTCAAATGGGAAATGGCAAATAAACAGAATCGGAATCTAAATTAATGAAAGAACAACCAAGCATTTCCTGCACTCAGCTGCATTAAAACACCTGAATTGCCACAACATGTCAAAACAAATACCGTTTTGTATTGTCTTTAGATATAACATGCAAAGAATGTGAAGATTAAAACCCAGTTTAGGATAAAAAATAATGTATTCACTATTGCCCCCTTGTGGACACATCTGGTAATACCCACCCTCCCCCACAGACACACACACAATGGTTTTATATTATCCTTCTGTGGTACGTTATTTGAGTTTGTTTGTATACTGAGAGACCAGTACCATTTTTTTTATACTTGTGTCTTCATGAAGTAACTTAGTGTCAGACGGTGAGCTTTAAGCCCAAAAATAAAAAGATTTTTTTGTACTGTAAAAGTATAAAAACGTGTCATCACTCGACTTGCATCTACACAAACCTGACTCCTGAAACATTAAAAAACTTGTTTATTTGGCTTTAATCTTCCACAGAATAATATTTAACCAATATATATCTATTCCAACGTATAGTTTTAACTTTCTTTTCCTGGGATGATGCGGGTAATGTGCCACCACCATTCTTACACGATAATGCTTAAAACAGGACCATATTTTCTGATTCAGACCTAATCATGCACGTATCCATAACGACAGACCTTGGTGGACGAGGACAGAGTGGCACCGTTCTCCAGCAGCATGGCCGCCACATCCTGGTGTCCTTCACGCGCAGCCAGGTGAAGTGGGGTGTAGCCTGAGGTGGTGGCAGCATTGGCAGAGGCGCCGCACTGCAGTAGCTGTTGGACTATTTCCACTTTCCCGAGCCGGCTGGAGATGTGCAACGCAGTCTGGTCGTCCTACAAAACAGAAACAAGTCCATGTGCTTCAACGAAACAAATATTTCTGGACTATGGTGTCTAACTGTCTAACTAACCTTGGACTTGGTCTCCACTTTTGCACCATTTTTGAGCAAGTACTTTACCACATCTGCCTGACCCGCTCTTGCCGCCATGTGGAGAGCCGTTTCCCCTCTCTAGACAGAAAAAAACGTTTTGATCGTCTGACAAATGTAATTAAGCATACTGCATAAACAACAAGTCAGGTAAAATGTTGTTTACTCACTACATTGGTGGTATTTGGTGATGCTCCATGATGAGTTAGTGAATTGACAATGTTCTCATGACCCATAAATGCTGCCACATGGATTGGCGTGAGACCAGACTGGAAAGATATGAATGAATAGAAAATAAGTATGGTTAGTAAATCTAAATCTAATATGTTATGAAAAGCTTTGCTGAGGACGTTTCAGCTGCTCCTACATCCAGAACACCTTTGATACAGCCTAGACCTGGCCTCCCACACATCTGCATTAGGAAAACATTGAACTATAGAAACAATATCTGTGTCTATGGAGGCGATGGAGAAGTGATTTATTGTTCAGATTGTTTGAAATGAGATAACGAGGAGGTCAGAGGGTCTGGAGCAAGGACAGGTCAAGAGGAGGAGCAGAGAGGAGACAGGTCCAGAGGAGGTGCAGAGAGGGACCAGGTCGAGAGGAGGTGCAGAGAGGGGACAGGTCGAGAGGAGGTGCAGAGAGGGGACAGGTCGAGAGGAGGTGCAGAGAGGGGACAAGTCAAGAGGAGGTGCAGAGAGGGGACAGGTCGAGAGGAAGTGCAGAGTGGGGACAGGTCCAGAGGAGGTGCAGGCAGCGAGGGGACAGGCCCAGAGGAGGTGCAGAGAGGGGACAGGTCGTGGAGGAGGTCAGAGGAGGTGCAGAGAGGGGACGGGTCCAGAGGAGGTCAGAGGAGGTGCAGAGTGGGGACAGGTCGAGGAGGTCAGAGGAGGTGCAGAGTGGGGACAGGTCCAGAGTAGTCAGAGGAGGTGCAGAGAGGGGACAGGTCCAGAGGAGGTCAGAGGAGGTGCAGAGAGGGGACAGGTCGAGGAGGTCAGAGGAGGTGCAGAGTGGGGACAGGTCCAGAGTAGTCAGAGGAGGTGCAGAGAGGGGACAGGTCCAGAGGAGGTCAGAGGAGGTGCAGAGTGGGGACAGGTCCAGAGTAGTCAGAGGAAGTGCAGAGAGGGGACAGGTCCAGAGGAGGTCAGAGGAGGTGCAGAGTGGGGACAGGTCGAGGAGGTCAGAGGAGGTGCAGAGTGGGGACAGGTCCAGAGTAGTCAGAGGAGGTGCAGAGAGGGGACAGGTCCAGAGGAGGTCAGAGGAGGTGCAGAGAGGGGACAGGTCGAGGAGGTCAGAGGAGGTGCAGAGTGGGGACAGGTCCAGAGTAGGAGGTGCAGAGAGGGGACAGGTCCAGAGGAGGTCAGAGGAGGTGCAGAGAGGGGACAGGTCGAGGAGGTCAGAGGAGGTGCAGAGTGGGGACAGGTCCAGAGTAGTCAGAAGAGGTGCAGAGAGGGGACAGGTCCAGAGGAGGTCAGAGGAGGTGCAGAGTGGGGACAGGTCCAGAGTAGTCAGAGGAAGTGCAGAGAGGGGACAGGTCCAGAGGAGGTCAGAGGAGGTGCAGAGAGGGGACAGGTCCAGAGGAGGTCAGAGGAGGTGCAGAGTGCGGACAGGTCCAGAGGAGGTCAGAGCGTCTGGAGCAGGGACAGGTCCAGAGGAGGTCAGAGGAGGTGCAGAGTGGGGACAGGTCCAGCGGAGGTCAGAGCGTCTGGAGCAGGTTCAGGTATACCCAAATTTTTCCTTTATTCTTCATACATATTTTCCATTTTTGTACATTTCTCTTATTGATTTTAGAAATCCTTTGTTCTTTATCCTCAGCTTGTCTTTTCCCATCACATTTTTTGAAAACTCTAGCGCCCAAAGAGTAGAGAAAAGAGTGAACAATGTACCTCAGTGACAGCTTGAATTGAAGCCCCATGTTTAAGCAACAACTCCATCACTCTCACTCTGTTCTTCTTGCAGGCTATGTGCAGTGGCGTGAATCCATTCTGTACAAAAATATACATGAGAAATAGATAAGAAAACCTTCACTTATCCCACAGAGGGGAAATTTCAAGGTAGGACAGTAGAAAGAGCGCACATGGAGCTCCTAGAATATACAGTTTGAGTAGTTGCTACGCTTCTTAGCTAGCTATAAATGATTCAGTATCAATATATTGATATATCGCTATCCATCTATATATATATAGTGTAAAGATTTATACATATAGAGAGAGATAACAAATAGATAAAGTGACATTCAGTGGACATTCTGAAATTTCAGTATTGGACATGATTACAGTATTTACTAATTTTCAGATGAATGACATGTACAGGCTCGGCAGCTCTCATTGTACAGTCTGACAGCAGCAGGAAGGAAAGACCTACGGAACCTCTCCTTCACACAACGAGGGTGAATATGAATGAATTAATATTTATTTATTCTTGTGTCTTGCATACAACTGTAAGCCCTGCCCTTTCATGGGCTTATAAGACACCAATATAAAGAACAGGATCAGATGACTGACAGGATACAAATATAACTTAATTGAATAAACAGGATTGCCGGCGTTTCCAGGCTTTACCAACATAAGTAGCCAATTTAAACACATTGGATTTAAACACATTTGAAACATTTCAGCTTATCATCATCATCACCATTAAACAGAAGATCACGAAGATTGTAATACAAAGAACAGTACAAAACAAAATGTGTTTCATTTTCCACTTCTCCTAAGTCACAAAGTTTACAAAGTCGGTCTTCTTCGGGAGTAAGTCTGTCACTGAAGCTACACAATGCAGTGTACAGTATATGACAGTGTATAAAGGTAACACAGGACATTACCAGAGCCTTGGCATTTGGATTGGCCTTCTTGTCCACGAGAAGCTTGGCCACCTTGTAGTGTCCGCAGTGCGCAGCCACGTGGAGGGCCGTCAGGTAGTCGTTGGTCACATCGTCCACAGGAACATTGTGCTGCAACAAAAGCTGGACGCAGTTGAGGTGGTCCCCCTGAGTTGCCATGTGGAGAGGCGACAGGCCGTTCTGCAGAGAGAGATGTGCAGAAAGAAAGGAAGAAAAACAGAGGGACAGAGCGAGACCAGAGAGAGACCGGGAAACACCAGACGCACACATAGACAGACGAGACAAACACAGACACAGGAGTTAGACTGGGGTCGCTGCACAGAGAAGACTGTGAAGGAACTTGTGGAGGTTACAAGAGCATTGTTATAATGAGTTCATTACAACAATGTCTATTACACTGGTCGTCGTGCGCGGTCAAACTGAACGGCTACGCGGCGGAGATGGGCTGTTCTGGAGAAGCCGCACAGACATTATGGACACAAAGTCACAACACTAGAGCTTAAGAAAAAACGTATCCATAGATATAATCAAGAATATAGGGTCTGTCTGAATCTCAACCTTCTCACATTCAACAAATATCAATTACTGTTTTTCTCTGAATTAGTTAGAAGCACAAATTAAAGCGACTGTAAATTTGAAATTAAAAAGGTGAAAATCACTATTATTACAATGAAAACAGGTAAGCTGTTGTACCATGTCTAGCTAAACCCCAGCAGGTGGTTTAAATCTGTAATCAGCTGTATGTGTGTCACAGGCAGGAAGATTCTGGCAACAAAAGTTGGATTATAATTCTAATGATTTAATTCACCCACTAAATATACAGTCCATTTCATAAGTGAAATTACAAAAGTTGACAGGTTGCCAAAGTATGCAACAATTACAAAGACCTGCTTGCTAACTGGGTGTTCAAGTTCAGGTGGAGACAAAACTGATAACAGAAGCTACCTTGGTCTTGGACAGAAAGGGAGCTCCTCTGTCGAGCAGTATTTCAACAACCTGTGCATGACCACTTCTTGCCCCACAGTGAAGCGGTGTAAGACCATCCTACAAAAATAATAACACAGATGAAAAGAAAAGTACTATTTAAGGTTTGAAAATACAAATGATTCATGACTAACCTTGGTTTTTGCATCCATTTTGGATCCTCTGTCCAGTAGCAGCTTAACCATGTTACTATTGCCCCGTTTTGATGCCACATGAAGCGGTGTGATGTCATTCTACACAAAACACAAATCACAACATCATCATTGAACCGTGGTGCTGTGCGGACGTTTAGAGCTCCATATTTCTATGCTCCGTGTTGGTGCCAGTTATTTCAAAGTGACAGAAAACATTGCATCTGTTTCTTGTTGTTATTATTATTATTTCATTTCTATAATGATTACTTTTATTGATTATGTGTTTGAGTATTATTATTTCTTATTTTTGAAATAGATTTTTCCAGGCATGGAACAAAACTGGACTAAAGGAGTTTTCTTTTCTATAAAATATTGCTAATTGCATTTTAGGTTTGTTGTTATTGAAATAACATGATATTTTCCCAACATGCTATGGTAGCACTAGCACACATTAAGTTGCAAGCTTTCATCAAGTAATGACCCCATTTAATGAAATCAACAACATTTTAGCGCTGGACGGTAAGAGGTAGAGCAAGAGAAGACCAATAGCCAACATTTTAAAACTGTAATCTATCGGCTCTATTTATCAGTTGAGCTCAGTTTGGACAGCAGTTTGATTCCAGCTGTAAGAGTGTAAACGTAATTGCTTCGGTAATGCCTAACATATAATCAGTGTCAGAGCCCCGTGCAAACACCAACACATTGCAACACAATTACAGACTCTGCTGATTCTGCCCACCACACACTGGCAGTAATCTATTATCTGCCCCAAATCTATTAGTAACTAACACATAATTTACATAAATGATTGTATATAAGGTCAGAACAGATACAGTAAATCAGAAATTATTCACACCATATTAAATTATGAGTAGAGTATTAGTAAAAAAGCATGTCATTACCCCTCCTACTCAGCAGAGGGCAGAAAATACTCACTCTTGCCATGAAGTCCACAGCAGCCCCTCTATTTAGCAAAAGTGTAGCCACATTGATGTTCCCATAGTGAGCAGCGATGTGGAGAGGAGTGAAGCCGCTCTGAGAAAACCAAGCAGACAGGTCGCATTACAAGCACTGTACAGTATGTAAATGTTCATGAAAGTCAGAGGAGGCTGGCTTTATTCAAATGATCTTGGAACACATCCAATAAGACAAGTCACACAGCATTATTACTAAAGGATAGGCCTACACATCAAACATGGGTCCACTAAAACCTCCTGATGAAATGCCAGGGAGTTACAGTACTAAACCATATGTCAGACATACTTAGAAAGAAAAATTACAGCAACCAACTTGAAACTGTTGCTTTTAGAGGGAGATTGAGAGTTTGTGCCTATAGATCGAACACGTTTTTTTCCCAAATCAAAATAGTGGCTCAATTCATTCAAAAAAATGTGTCTAATTAATTCTTCCAGAGATTACCAGTATTTCACCACTGGCCTTAAAGGATCTAAATATGCACTAGGCATACACTTTGCTTCAGTGTATTTTACAGCATGACGCTCAGATTTCACTTGTCAGCTCATTATTTCCCTTTTGTGAAAATTTCAAAGGACAACCTGAAAAATAATGCAATGTTCTTAATTGTCAATCTCGTTAAATGCATGACACAAGCTTGTCAGTGTGGTCCCATGCAAAATGCTTCCGTTAAAAAGGTTCACAGTTTATGAACAGGTACGCACTGTTCTGTACGTTACAAGACTTCTATGACAGAACAGGATTTTCTACTACTTCATGGGAAATTGTTGCCATGCAAATGATGGACAAACAATTGCTTTGTGTATATGATAACCACATCCCATGCTACCACTGGTTATCATGTCATAAGTTTCATGGAAACAGAGTTTTCAAACCATATTTTTTTTATTTATCCAAAAATCACAGTACATTTGTGTTCATTTAAATGAATAGATAAATAATCGGACAGCTTATGTTTTGAAAACCATGAAACCATTCAATCCAGGAAACCTTGATGCCCAAGTCTCTGTACCAGTCATTAGACACATGCGCCTGATCTCACTCAAACAAGAGTTATCTAATACATTAATAAAGCAATGAATGGTAAACAACTGAACTAGGGGAAAGAATCAAGAGGGGCGGGGGCTGCAGTAATAAGCACTACACTATTTTCTCTCTTTTTATGAACTGCAATGAAAGGTTTATATGAAGTACAGAGTCGAGGTATACCTCTGTTGCTCTATTCACCATCAGCTAAAGAGTCAGCCAAGAGGAGAGCAGAAAATGGGTAATTAGAGGGAAAATAAATATTAATGCCTCCCAAACAGGGAATGGGGGAGGAGAGCATGGGAAAAGATCTGGTGCAATATATGAGGTTATAAAACATTTACATAACGTAAATTATCTGCCTGTTTTTATGTGTGATTTTCTCTTTATAGCCAATAGCTATATTATGACATGTTTACTATCAGGAAGAAAAAGAAGCATCAAATCAAATTATAAAAAAACAAAGACTCAATAAAGATATTATTATAAATAAAGAAAGTGTAATAACCTAAGGGGAAACTGCCAGCAGTGGTTAAACATTATTTACAGACTAATAAAAGGCCGTGCAGAGTCTCTCACCTTGGATTCCACGTCTGCATTGTGGTCGTTCTGCAGGAGCAGGGCCGCGGCCTTGGTGTCATCCTTGCGGGCGGCGATGTGCAGGGCAGGCAGGCGCACCTTGCCCTTTGTATCGTTCTCCAAAAGCAAGGAGACCACCTGGTCATGGCCCTGCTGGAGGGCCACCGCCAGAGGGGTGAAGCCGTCCTGAAGGAGGGACACAAGCACCAGGTGTGAACAACTTATACATCTATTACACTGTTTGGTTAAAACTGCTGAATTATAATGATTCACACAAACGATTCTGGCTTTAGCACTAACAGTGTCTGGAGGTAACTGAAACTTGCTTGCTAAATACTCAACAAGGATGAGCAGGACGGTATATTAAACTACTTTATCATACTTATACATGCTCTTTAGAAAATGTAGAAAATGATAGGCCTAGTTATATGCACCAGCAGATGTATTTTTGCTTACATTCTTCAGGTGTATTAACAGGCTCTAAATTTGAGGGGATATTCTCTGTGTATACTGTACAAGAATGTCCTAAAAAGCTGCACCATAAGCAGTCGCACAAGCATACATCTACGAGTGTTTGTATTTTGCCTTTTCACACATGCGTTTATGTGTGAAATGTGTTATGTTGATGGTGTGTGTATGCATTCCACAGGCAACGTAAATCAGAGCAGTGATGGCAGCAGCGGCAGCCGCGGCAGGAGCCATGGAGAGGAGCAGACCTCATCAGTGACCCACTCAAGGTCACTCCACCATCATACACTAGCAATCAATGGAGCTGAGCCTAGTCCCTCACGGAGAGATGAAAGGGGGAGGGGCAGGTGCAGTGTGAGACAGAGGTTCGGATGTAGAAAACTCTCACACACAACAAAGAGAAAGGAGCAGATGAAGGAGGTTAGTACAACAGCTGAAAGGACTGACAGTGATTCACACAGAAATGCACAAATACATGTGTTGCTGTGATACAACATGTTCCCACAGCTGTCCTCTACCTCAGTGGCCATACTCTGACTGGAACCATTCTCCAAAAGAAATCTGACAACTTCCAGGTGATTCTCCTGGGCTGCCATGTAGAGCGGAGTGAAACCATTCTGAAAGACAAAGGGAAACAGTTGGTGACTAAAAGCAAGCGCCACTTAGTACAAAAACATTTACAACATGAGCATTGTTCGCTGCGTTCATCAGTATTAGATGGGGTCATGTGCAGCTGTTAAATGCAGCTGTTTGAAAGCTCAGGGGTTCTTCCAATAGTTCTAGTAGTTTTTTTTTTTTTTTTTTTTACATAAAGAAACATTATTATGTAAAAGTAAGGTGTTGTACAAATCATATTTAGCATGTTCTTATCAAAACACAAGCTGAGTATCAAACCAGAAAGCAGAATCAGCATCACATGAGTCTCTCATTTGAGTGGACAGTTTCTTTAGTAAACTCTCCTGTAGCTGTTTTGGTCTCTACCTTAAGACCCTTACAACAGCCTTTAAAAGAGGCCTAAAAACCTTCCTTATTAATCAGGCCTTTTAGGGATTTGATGTGCTTTTAACCCCTTCATGTTTCCTTTGGATATTGTATGTACTTTTTCTTTGTTTGTTTGTTGTGCTGTATTTTCATCTGTAGCACCTTGAGGTTTCCTGGAATTGTAAGGTGCAATATAAATATAAAAAATCAGTCAAAAAAATCAAAAAATGTGGCTATCATTTTGACTGCCTTAAAACAAGATTTGCCAATGGGACAAGCAAAATTATCTCGTTTTAAAAAGATCCAAGAAATGTTTCCTTTGTAATGAGAAAAAATGCAACAGTTCTTAAAGAAAGACTAAATGGCTTTGTCTAAAATCTTGCTTTAAGACAGTCTGAATGTACTGAATGAAGATTGCCTCATATTTTATCTCTTATTGCAGTGCTGTTCCTTTGAATAAGAGAATTGAGGAGTTCTTTCTCTCAATCTCTGGTTCAGCAGAGTTCTTACCTGAGACTGTGCGTTGACATTGGCTCCGTTGGTGACAAGCTCTTTGACGACTTCCGCCTGTCCAGCCAGCGATGCTATATGCAGAGCAGTGTTTCCTTTCTGGATTACATGAAACAAGCGACGGCATGTCAATACAAATCCATGCACATGTCAGACACATGCTGCTCTGCGATCTGGGCTAACTTTGTGCTCCCTGAAAACTCCTTGTTGTAGATGTCATGATTTCTATTGAACAAATGTTGTGGAAAATACACAATAATGAGGATTGATGAATACAATGAACTAAAAACCAATAAAAGTTTCCATTGTCTATTACATGTTACAATTCCTGCACTGTATTGCAAAAAAGAACAAAACATGTAAAATAGTTTATGCAAATTTTCACTGTTTTACAAAATTGAAACGAGAAATGTTTAAATCAGGAGTGTTGAAACTTTGTAGTAAGAGGGTCACTTTAGTTCACCAGACTTGTCCAGGTACGACAACATGAATTGTAAAACTATTTTGACTGGAATCAGCCTTTTTTCAGACGTGAAATGAGGTATGACATAACCACTTTGATAAACGCTTTTATGTAAGTAAGTAATCTTTATTTATATAACGCATTTTACAGATCGAGGTCATCCAAAGCGCCAACTGGGGTTGGTTAAATGACGATTGTTTACTTTCTCACCAGCTACATCAGTGCCAATGACAAAAAAAAGCCAAAACATACAAAGTACATACAAATAAATGGATTCAAGAGGTTCTGAGCTGTACATTGAGGTATAGCATGCCTACATTGGCAAAGCTGAAGTTGGCTGGATGACACTGTGAACTTGTGTTTATGATCTCAATGGTACTTTGTGTTAGCAGCGGAGGGCCATGTACAATGACACAGTAGGCCGCAATTGGCCGTCGGGCCTTAGTATGGATTTGGAGTCAACGTACAAGATGAATATACTTAATCCTTAACCATTTTAAATAGTAAATAGGATTAATTTAATCAAGTTAATGTCATGTAAACAAGTCAATAAAAAGCACAGAATAATGGGCTAAATGGCAAGAAAGTTATTTGTTTATTTTATATATATATATATTGTTTTACATAATTATAATTTATATTGAGTTGAACAAAAATCATGTCTTATGTATGTATTACTATCATATTATTTATAAATCAGCACTTTAGGGTAAAAAAGGCAAGTACCGAAAGGAGTATCTACCAGGGTTAGGGTAAGCTTTCTGATGCATTCCCTCACTGTCCGGGTGGAGGGCTCCTTATTGTTTTGCCTGGATCTTTAAATAGTTTGTCATTAGAAGAGCCATAGAACCCCCACCGACCCCTGAAACTCCTCAGGGTCAAAACACAGGCTCTAATTGGGCACATTTACACCTTCCTCCTGAATTTTGCATCACGTCCTTATGGTTACTCATCATATATCAAAGGAGAACTAACTGTTCCCTTTCAGTTTTAGCTTCTGACAGTTCTGTTCTGTGATTCAGGGATGACTGCGATGAACCTGCTCACCCTCCACAGGCTTCCAGATGTGATGCAGATGTGAGCTCTTACCTTTGTGGCTGCATCCACTGAGGCTTCGAGCTTCAGCAGCTCAGCAACAACCTCCACGTGCCCCTCTTTGGAGGCCAGATGAAGAGCGTTCAAACCATTCTGACAAAAAAGAACAATGCAGATGGAGTCACTGTCGCAGAAACAAACTATATGTATTTTGGTAAAGCAGGAAATCACACATTTTTACCTGATTACAAATATTGATCTCAACCCCAGTCTTGAGGTAATCAAGGACTTTTTCAAGGTTTCCAGCCCGGGCTGCTCGCAGGTAACTGGCATTGCTGTCAGACTGCAAAGAAAAGAAAGACAATTTATGTTAAACCTGCCACATCATGACACATATGCTTGTATAAAAACATGAATATACCAAGTAGAACTCTGTCATAGCTTCTCACAAATCATTTTAAGCTAACTCAAAAGTTAATTCACAATCAGCATTAGTAGAAATCAACCAAAAAAATCAATCCATTGCCAAAGTACTCCATATCTTCCATAGAATTCTGTAATGGTTGAAATGAGGATTTTGTCATTTCCAAAAGCCAGGGTCACTGCCTGAGTAAGCCAACGCAGCTCCCGACCATGTAGAGCAGTGGTCGCTGCGCTACAAGCCGTCTGCGTCCACTACACTGACTTGCTGTGGTATATTTCTCAGAAAGGGGCAATGCTCACCAAAATAAAATGATGAGCGAAGCATGTTTTCCCCTTATAGCAAATGAGGTGTGTATGTGAGGTAGAGAGAGAGAGAGGAGAGAGGGCGGAGCTATGGTAAGGAGGGATGAGAAAAAGTATCAGAGAGTCATTTAACATAAGAAGACCCAGAGGTGAATTTTAGGTCTGTCTGTTTTGACGTATACAGACAGACAGACAGCCAGCTTTGCACATTTTGTTTTCCATGTTTGCAATTGCTTCCCATCGTTTTGTAAGGTCAGCATCAGAAGCACTTAAAACCAGTGCAGAAGAAACTGATCTGCTGCCTCCCTATAATACAGTATCAAAATGCTCCTAAATGATCAAAATGCTCAGGGTTGCTAAATTTAGACCAACATATTATAGATGTGTGAGAGCGCTTCTCCAACACACTAGTGCCTTTGCTTCTGCTGTTATTTCCATAAATAACTGTGACGTACAAAGAGACTCAAGGTTTGTGACCTAAAGTGAGAGTGAACAAAATACAGTCTACCTCTAATGCTTGCACCTGAAGGAAAACGGACGAGGGACTACAACTGTTGAGGTGACAATGTGGTATTCTTACATAATTGACCTTGTGGCTGTATGAGTGGGCAGCATGGTGCCTTTACTTTCTATCATAGTGGTCTCTAGGATGCTATTTGGAAGGTTTTCTCTGCTGTGGGACCCTCGCACCAGAAGACATACAAAACAATTGATCCTGGAGCTCTGTAGACACAATCCTGACCAAAAGTAAAGACATCATGCTGCTCACTCACAAGGTCAAATATGAAAGAAAGTAGTTCTTCAAAATCACATAAAAAGTTGCATAGTCCATCTTTACTGTAAGCACCACATTGGGGGATAAATGCAGTATAATGCCTTTTCATCAGCCTCTATATGTACCTTCTGTCACTATCTTTAGCTCAGTGTTCACAAAAACATTGGAACACTCTCATAGTGTCATTACTGCAGCTGCCCATGCTATTGTTTTACTTAAACATTTAAAATGTTTTAAATGTATGTTTTTGTCGTCAGTGTCAAAATACGAAATCTGCCTGGTTTCAGTTTCCTTCACACAATGTCCGCTGCAGACAATTTATCACAATTCTTGCCATCAATTTGATATGTTACTGTAGTTTGGCACGGACCCAACCACAGTTCATCAATCCTGTCTGAATCTATGGATTGGACACGTTGCTGCAGTAGTTCCATCTGTCGCCTTCAGTAAGGCAATGGGCCTTACTGAATGGAGTTTGCATAGGTTTCCTCTGGGTGCCCCAGTTTTCCCTATCACTAGTAACATGTGCAATGGGACTGATGAAAACTACAGAGAATTACGGAGCATTTAAAGCAGTAACTGTTCATTAATATATACTGTTCCATTCATGTAAATGCATCTGAGTCTGACCAATGGTTTTAGCAGATTTGGGTAGGAATTTATTTCTGACATATTGGGGTAAAAAAAAAGTGAGTAATCAGCTATAATTGGATAACATAGGTAGGTATGTTTACTCTGTACCTCATAGCAAAGAATACTTTTGAGCAGCACTTGTAGTTTATTCATTCTCATTGTAGACGTGTGTGAGTGCATGGACATGGTGTCTCACTTAAGTGGTATGTGCCCTCTCTACCTCATGCTTGCAGTGGCATACCGACGAGGGCTCACATCTCATGGCTGTTGTTCATCACCAAATACTTGCCCTTTTCCAGTAGTCACATGTCTTCTCTCAAAGTGTGCCATTAAAAGAATATAACAATTTAGCCATCTTTCAAAGTCCTTCATAAACTCTCTTTCAACAATCGTTTACCAAATATCTATGATTAATTTGATTCCTTCCCCAGCACAAGTTCCAACAGATTAGGTTAAGTCTTCAGCAAGTTGCCCGTCACGGCTGCCAGTTTATCCCTTAATGCCTGTAGTGAAAGCAGTGACCAGCACGGCCCTCCCTCTACCCCAAACCCATCAACAGCAGCTCTTCAGGTCTCTGGGAATGGAGCATTACATGGGCCACTGTGAGAGATTAAAACCAGAGAAATATTATTACACCCACGCACAGCAGAGGTTCAAAGAAAATGGGGCTATTAAACACTAGGTTAAGCCTGAAGTAGCTTTAATCTACTGTACTTCTACGCTGAGATGGAGATGTAGAGAATAAAACATGACATGCTGAGCTGCAAAATCCGAGAATTACAGAATAATTCCTAATTATGACTCGATTAAAGTTACAATTTATGCATCATTTATGCAGGAGTGTGTTCAAGTGCCGTCAGCAACTGTATATCCTTCAACACAGAAGAAACATGGAATTCGAGGCAGTAACAATAAATCAGAAGTCTACGTCATGACATAAGGAAAAGACTTGACACAGGAACAGGTAAAGCCAGAAGGTGCACATTTGTTTTAACTCGGAAACACTGCCTTTAAAAAACAGAATATATATTTAATTTGAATCTAATGAAGTGAATAAATAGCTTCATTCCTCTTCAGTAATAATTAGCGCTGTCCATCGATAAAAAGATTATAAGAATTAGTTAAGATTGTGTCAGAGATGTCTGTATGATTTTTACACAATTCTGAAGATAAAGGTTTAGTTTATTGTTTATTGTGGGAAAGTTTGTCCTCTGCATTCGATCCATCTTCCAATGCCACTGGGGCAACATGTCAGAAACAGTGGTCACTACAGTGCAGCGCCCAGGGACCTATCTGCAGATAGAGCTTGGTCAGGACTCTCAGATCTGGAGAGTTTTATTGTATTACAGAACAATGTTATAGAGAGGTTACCAAGACTTTTGGTTTAGATGGATGTCTACATTAAGATTGTGTCCTGTGTAAATCTTTCCTCCACCTGCTGCTATTTGTCTGGGTGGTGATTTAAATAAATGTTATATTAACTCGAGGCTAGTTTACATCTGTAATCCATTTATACATGTTTTATAGTAGAGGAAACCAAAGTACCCAACGAAAACCTACACCGACACAGGAAGAAATCTAATCCAATACTTTTTTGGTGAGAGGCTAAATGTCAGACTACTACTGTACGCCACTGTGTCGCACGTTGTTAATTTTTATGTTGCTGGCAAACTTATGATTTTTTTTTAAAATTGCAGATTAATTGTAATCAGACATGTGAACATACTATATAATTGTACAATAACATAACAATTCAGATCACATGTAACTGTGCACATGCGGTGGAAACAAAAATGGAAAAATCAATAAAACATTTATTACAAAAAAAGGAGATAAAATCCATGTACATTTTTGCCTAAAATTGTGCATCTATGATTGAGCCATGATTAAAAGAACAGAATTCTTATCAATTTAACAACGTCATAACAATTACACAATGTGTTCCTGCAGTTCTTCCAGCTATGGTCAACTGGATTTCACAAAAAAATCTGGCAACCCATACCACTTGACACCAACCCTGAATTCTGATTTTCTGATTGAAAATCAGCACAAGGTACATGTAATGCATGAACTTTGACAGCTCTAGAAATCATTGTTTGCTCAGTGGCTAAAGCGTGGGATAGTAAGCTTATGTATCGGCAGAAAATTGTGAAATTTAATTAACAACAACTGTGTTTGCGTACTTGTAATCATTAAACTGATTACACAGCCTTCAGTCAGTATATTAGTTACACATTTTCCAACAAGATATTTATGATTTGAAAAATGTAAACTGCTTGTGACTCGACCCGTCATGATACATACAGTACTGTATATCGATGATATTCAAACCACATGTGCCTCAACACACTTTCTTAATCGTCACTTATTCAACCCTTAGAACTCAAATAGTAAATTACAAAGAAAACAATAAAACATCTTCCTACTATTGCAAAGAAAAGGTCTACATTCTACATACTTTAGATAGTTCTGGGGTCGTCATGGTAATGCAGCTTTTAGCCCAGTGACTTGTTGATGGGTGTAGAGTGTAACAAATACATTTAGGTGCAAAAAAAAAGGAATAAGTGTGAAAGTGTGATATTAAACGTGAAGTACAGTCTTCCTGAAAATGTGAGACAGGCTTCTTCTCTGACAATGTTCAAATCCAGGTTAAAAACAGTTCTAGTTTTGTTTAGTGCAGACAACTGAGGGATTTCATAACTCTTTTTAATGTACGGTGATTATTTATGATTTCAAAGCTTTGTGTGACTGTTTCTATCTTGTTTTCTGAAGCACTTTGAGTTGCCTTGAGTATGAACAGCAAAAAGTGATGAAATATGAAGAAATAATTGCTTGAATCAAGTGTTTTTTTAATCTTACTATAAGTACATTCTGACTGTTTTAAAATTGTGAATCATTTCGAGAAGTGTTGCTTTATTTTCTCATGAAGGAAGACATTTCTTATATCTTTTTAAAACACAATAATTTTGCTTGTCCAATTGGCAAATTTTGTTTTAAGGCAGTTAGAATGTTCTCAAATTAATATACATTTTGAAAAATTTGAGTAATTTTTGACTGATTTTTTATCACTTTTAGCAGTGTGAACTATGCTATACATATAAACCTGTGTGAGTGGGAGGTACCAGTACGTATGTCTTACTTTATACAGTGACAACATTCAGTCAAACAAAATAAACAATCCATAGCATCCGACAGTGTCAAACAGCTGCAGCAAAAATATTTTTTATAGACATGATCAGATTTGATTTCCATATTTCACTATCAATCAATCAATCAATCAATTTATTTGAGCAGGTCATACGAAACAAAAAACAATCCAATAGGAAAACATTTCAAGAAAAAGTAGACACAGCTCAAAAGGAGTAAGCCGAAGTAAAATACTTGTGGGAGCTTACCCCAATTACATTTCACTTTTATTTGACCAGGAAAGTCCCATTGAGATTAAGAACCTCTTTTTCAAGGGAGTCCTGGACAACAAATAAATCACAACATCGAGTGAATCGGATGGCTGCAATGAAACATTAAAATGAAATAATATAAATAACTAAATAATACATATAAAAAATATTCCTAAACATCAGCATAAATTGTTTTTGTTGTATTTGTCACTATGCTTCCAAATAAATCAAGCCTATACCCATAGCCCAAACTTAATAACACCTCAAAGCAACTTAGAAAAGAAGAAAATCACAATTTACAGCAAAAACAAAAATGGCACAGGTTCAAAACATTTCCCCAAACCAACAACACTGACTTGGCAGCCGCATGCAGTGTCTACATTTATAGCAGCCGCACAACTTGCAATGTGATCATCTCTGAAGCATCACACAGTCCATTACACAATATAAACATGCATGGTGGTTTAAACCCTGAGGACAAGCTAGCCGCGCGACTATAAACACAACCAGCGTTTTAGCATGACTCAATAACATTACCGCTTATTAACGGAACTTCAAACCATACTCACTTGTACCGCTCCCTCTTCCACTGCCATCCTCCCTGCTCTGTCTCCCACTATGTGTCCAAACCGAATGCAACCTGATTCCCATTCATCTCTGAGTCTCTTTGCTCCTACATACTTGCTGAGGGTAACATCAGACCATTTGGCAAGCGGGGAAAAAGAAAAATGTGTGAGATATGCTAGCCGTAAAAGGTGGTGGATTGAATCACTTCCTTCCGCTGCAGAATCGATTGAGCGTGAGGGGGTGTGTGTATAAGAAAAGGGGGCAATGAGAAGGAGGGAAAGGTCCCGACGGTGCGGTGAGCCAAACAAAAGCAGATCGCCTCTCTTGTCTTTCACGCCGCGGAGAGGACACACGCCAAATCCTCTCCGCCGCTCACTCCCCTCCCTGCCCCAGAGCCTGAGCTGTTTTATGTCAACAGGATGAGTAAATCCCCTCCGCGCAGTGCAAAAAGCTGCCCCAGAAAGCACCTATAATAATAATAATAGTACTATAATAGTAAGTTATTCAGCACTTACCATAACAGAAGAGACATTAGCTTGCCTCTCCTCGTCTCCCTCTTTCTTTTTCCTCCTCAACTTCATTTACACCAGTGAGGGGGGCTGGGTGCAAGTGCAACAGTGATTTTTTTATTTTTTTTCCCCTTAACTGAAGCCCGTGTCCATGTCAACGCCCACCCTCTCCCACCCACTCATTCTCTCTGGTTGCCTCTGCTTTATTGTAATTCTGCTTATCAGCCCGTTTTCCAATACAAAGCACGGCGTGAGCGGTGGAAAAGCATGTGGCCATACTGTAAATGCCGGCCGTAGAATGAAGCACGGCGATCTCAGTGAAGCCAGAATAACATACTTATTTTAGGAGGTGTGGACCATAGAGCTTCCCTTTCAATTATTGGGAGCAGTTGGACATAGGATTAGGGGCTCTTCCCTGTTGTATTGGGGACACCCTCTGTTCTCACAGCAGCACCCTGGAGCATGGGACCCTCACCCCCCCATACCACCCATCTAATCCTATTCATGAATGTGGCGGATCAAGCGGCTCTTATGATAAAATGCACATAGAGTTAGGGGCAATTTGTACAAGCTCAAGGGAGAAATTCTACACAAAATAATGATGTACCAGTCACCGGTGACCACAAACTCAAGGCATTTTGGTAATTATCAACTGTACTGAAATGTGGTAATTTTTCATGTTTAGTTCAGGTATATCTCTTGGTCAAATAAGTAAGTAATTCTATGTAGATAAGCTTTTCACACAGTGGGAAACTCACGGCTGTTTGCGGATACATTGTGGAGGTGTGGCTGCCCTGGGATGACAAAAGCGAGGCTACCAATTTGGACACTCCAACCACCTCCAAACTGCATATTGGGAGAGGACAGGCTGAGTGCTGACGTCACCATATTGTCTGCTGAAAGAGGAAGAAACCGATTCCAACATAATCTATCTGGAGAAAATGTCCTATATGGGCATATGTTTCAGACGACATAGCGTCACAATGCAAAAGGGGCAGACGTGTTGCCTGATGGTTGCTAAAACAAGCTGGAGGTCCATCCTTATATGGTTCATACTGTATGTGGATTTACAAAGACCATATGAAAACATAAACACCAGGATCATAGTTGTGATTATATGTGTTGTTTTGTGTGAAGTGTTTGTCTAACTCTGGATCATGAGTCCAAAGTTTGATGATGACCACAGACTTTTAAATGTTTAAATGGTGAGTGTGACACAAACGGTTACTGAGCTAGAGGTTACTTTCAATACAAGTCACTAGCAGCCAGAGCGAGTTTTGCCAGAGCAAAACTTTGTCCATGAGCACTTTCTTATTGGGATTCATTGAGCTAGGGTTAGCATTGTCCATCTATATACATAGATGCATGCACACATACCAGGTTCATTCTAGTCTAAAGGCAACAATTATTGTATCTGTAAAGGTTGTATATTACAGCGCACATGTTGTATATTTATTATTGATAGTTTGTATGATGCTGAGTATTCAGAATTAATCAGATCTCGGATGCAGAGAGAAAGAAGAGCTATGGGAAATACAGAGCTGCGGGAATGTCCCGTAGCATCTAAAACAAAGAGTTGATGTCGGAAGTACCAGTAAACTCCGAACGCTTCACAGAAGGAACAGATGCTCTGGACCAGACGAGTCCCACGTGTGATTGGTCGACGCCTTCACACTATGGCACGGGTCTGCATGGAAACGGTTTCCATGGTGATGGGTGAGGTTATAACAAAGGAAGAAAGGAGTCAAGCCTACTTTGGGGTAAAATTATCTCATTGACACAGTTGTGTCTCACATGTCTGCATGGATTTTATCAATCCACTGCAAAAAACCATTTACAAAAACTAAAATACATATCAATGGTTAAAAAATAATAAAAAACATATTTTTCTGCTTAGATTTTAAATGAAATATAGTCAGGAATTCAAAAAGCAACATTGCTTCAGTTCTTTCACACAATTTATCCGTTGCTAATTACAAGCATTCAAAATAATATTTAAGGGATCACACAGTTGCTGATCTATAAATGAACTACAATTACAACACAACCATGAGTCTATAGTTTCAGACAGAGACACAGGAGCTGCTCATGTTTCTGCTATTCCAGCTGAGCTCTGATTATAGATGTGCTGAGGTTTAGGTAGAGCCAAAACTCACTGAATTTCACCAAAGAAACTGGCAACCCAACGCTTTCTGATCGAGTACCCATATTGAGGACCATGGGTCACACTGCACACTGTGGTCTGTGGTCTGCTCTGTGGTCTGGTCTGTGGTCTTGTCTGTGGTACCCCAGTCTCTGGTTGTGAGGCTGCGTGCTGTTGTGGTAATTAAATAATTGACTTGAAAAGTGCTGCGGTCAGGAGCTCTCACTACACAGAGCGCTGTGTGGCTGAGTGGCTCTCTTGTGACTTTTCATTGTACGCAAGACTGCAATCACCACACTGCACTGTGATCGTAGTCGTGAGCAAGTATTTTTATAGTTAGCATAAAACTAGTGCACTTAATGGGGGTTCGGCAAAAGCTCTCAAAACATTGCAGAAACGAAGTGTCCTTTCACAACTATGCAGACGACACTCAGATCTATGTCTCACTGACTGCAGGAGAACATGGACCAGTGGACTCACTCCTTCACTGTATCCAACAGATCAGTGAGTGGATGCAAAACAACTTCCTTCAGCTAAACGCAGACAGAACAGAAATGATTGTTTTTGGTCCCCAGAAACAAAGAGAGCGTCATCTGTCACCTATAGTCTCTCTCCCTAAAACCTTCAAACAGGGTCAGAAATCTAGGGGTAATACTGGACTCAGACTTAAATTTTAATAGCCACATCAAATCAGTAACATCAGCAGCTTTTTACCACCTAAAAAACATTGCCAGGATCAAAAATATAGTGTCTAAAGCAGACTTGGAGATTCTTATCCATGCATTTGTCTCCAGTAGGTTAGACTACTGCAATGGCCTGCTCACAGGTCTCTCCAAACAGGCTGTAAAACAGCTGCAGTACATTCAAAATGCAGCAGCTCGAGTCCTGACTAGAACCAGGAAGTACACATTAGTCCAGTCCTCAGGTCTCTGCACTAAATATATTAGTGACATGTTACTCCCATACGAACCGGCCCGGACTCTGAGGAGCACAGGGACTGGACTCCTGTTAGTGCCCAGAGTCAGGACTAAACATGGGGAGGCTGCTTTTCCGATTCATGCTGCTAAAATCTGGAACAGTCTTCCTGAAGATGTGAGACAGGCCTCCTCTCTGACAAAGTTTAAAACCAGGTTAAAGACAGTTCTGTTTAGCTGTGCATACAACTGAGGGATTTTATACAGTATTTGTATCTTTCTTTTTAATGTACTGTGATTATTTAGGATTTTAATGTTTTCTTATTTTGTTCAGCACTTTGAGTTGCCTTGTGTATGAATTGTGCTATACAAATAAACTTGCCTTGCCTAATAAAGTATTTAATAAAGAATTGATACATTTAGGAACGGAGAGATTATTCCAGCTTGAATATCGAAGTAAACCCCAACTTTGGTTGAGTTTGCTGTTTCCTAGAGAACTTAGATTACATAGTTAGTATTACTAATACAATCTTATGTCAACCAAGAAACCATCACTGACAATTACTCAACACCGACAGCCCTGTGGCCATTTATGTGATCAGCAATATTTGTCTGGGGACTAGATACACTAACATTGCTGTGATTTAAAATGAAAATGGTTGTAAACCCAGTTCCTTTAGTGCCTTTTTTAATTAGCAACATTTTAAGTGACTTGTATATTCTTATAAACTGTATCTTCAGAAGCCTCAGATCCCATGTGCCTTCACCAGTGTCACATTTATATGCAGTGAGCTGGGGACCTTATAGTAGGTGCTGCAAAAGGTCACACAAGTCCAATTCCTCAGAGATGCCAGTGGATTTGCAAAGATCACACAAAGGAACACGAACAGAGGGATATTTACTGCTTCTGGAACACTGCTCAAGGGCACAGCTCCACTGTCAGCGGGGACATGAAACCAGAGGGGAGGCCGGAGGACACAACAGCAGCCAGGACACAGAGCAAGAATGCAGATGAACAGGGGGCAAAACTGGGGTCAGCCATGAACTAAAGGACATTGCTTTTCTAAATACCATATGCAAATTACTAGTACCAATCATTCAGTGGTCCAGGTTTATTGCCTGCATTTGCGCTTGAGCCATGAACCCTCAAGTCCCATGCAGTTAACTTCTTCAAAAAACCTGAAAACATGATTCTCTACTATGTTTCCCAACCAGGGGTATGAGGACCACAGCATTATACAAGCTTGCTGTACTGTATTTTAAATTATCACATCGAATGGTCTTTACGAAAGATAGCTATAGACCTTTATTGCCCCCTGAGGGAAATTCATTTCCACGGACACAGTCAGATGCATAGAACACAGGAGAAGGAACTTACAAGAATACACAACAATACACAAGAATACACAACAATACACATACAATACACAAAAATACACAACAATACAGAGACATGGACAACA